CCATTTCTTCTTGACACTCTCATCAGGGTTTGCAAATATGTGGGACCCATCCTGTGACTCCCCATCCCCCCACCCCCATGGCAGATACCTGCAATGAACACAGAATTCTCTCCTTGCAGCCTACTCAACACTGGGTTCCATGGTTCATAGAAAGTAGCACGGTCAAGCAGTATTAATAACCGGGTGTGTGCCTGAGAGAAACTTGCTCACGTTTCTGATTAGATGGGTGGAAAGGGTGGCTTCCAGAGGTGAGGCAGAGAGGCCAGGTCCTGAAATGTCACCCGGGCAATTTCAAAGCTCCAAACCTTAAGCTACAGCCCAGACTGATTAAATCCCAAACCTGGAGGATGGGGGAAAACTCCCCATGTAATTTCCAATGTGCGGACGAGTTTGAGAATGGCTGCCATAAGGGGTCTTCGTTGGCCAAAGCCAACTTCATCACAGATTTAAAGGGATGGAAGGCTTACGAGTTGCTTTTGCCGCAGAGGGGATGGATGCTCCAGGGCAAGAGGGAGGCCTCTGAGTCGGGACTCGGCGCGGAAGCGGATACGGAGCGCAGACCTGAGCAGGGAGGGCAACACTGCTCGGACAGAGGCGGACCTGAGCTGGACCTGAGCAGAGTCACAAAGCTGAGCGGAGGGCCTGGCCTCCAGGCGCCTATGTTTTGTTTTTGTTTTTTGTTTTTTAATCAGTTTTGATGGCTCAATGCCAAATCTACTTAGAATCGGTCATTTCCTTATTTTCATTTCTATTTTTTAGAACGGGTAAACACTGAAGCTTTAAGGGCAATCAGCGTAACAACTCAATGAGCTTAATTTTGCTACATTCAATCTTCTTTCAAGATATCAAATTTGCATACGGAAAAAAAGCTTAGGTACTTACAATAAAACTAAATCACAGGGAATTAAAAAGGATATGTCTGCTTAAACAGAATACTCAGTAGCACTGCCGTTTATGTGAAAGTCATTTTGACAACACGTTGCTTATTTAATTAGAATTTGAGGTCAGAGACCACTGAGCACAGAAAACAATGCTTTGAAAACAGAGTCACTATCAATACTACCCTAATCTCTTTGCAAGAAAAGAAAAAAAAAAATCTACCTTTTAATTATACCACAATGACTCGAAATCTTAAAAGTCTTCAACTCTTCTATTCATTCAGAATTGTAAGATCTCACTCATGGGAGGAGGGGTAGAAGGAGAGGCTTTTCAAGACCTTTCTATACCTCAATATCCTTTTAGCTTAAAATGTAAACATGGATCTGTCCTGATACAACTCTGTGACATAAAGACCAATTTAAGAATGAAGTTTAAGAGCAGCTCTGCTGCCCTGGCCAGTTTGGCTCAGCGGTTAGAGCATCGACCTGCGGTCCGGAGAGACCCGGGCTCGGTTCCCGCTAAGGGCACGTACCTTGGTTGCAGTTTGTCCCCGGCCCTGGTTGGTTGTGCGGGTGGCAGCCACTCGATGTGTCCCTTCACGTCGATGTTTCTCTCTCTCTCTCTCTTCCTCTCTCTCCCTCCCACTCTATTCGTACAAAAAATGGAAAAATATCCTCGGGTGAGGAAAAAAAAAAGAGCATCTCTGCTGTTTTTGCATAAGAACAATTTTAGTGACTGCAATGAGAAATTAACAGGTGGGGGAAGGAGACGGGACAGCAGAAGAGACGCAGGTGACCCGTGGCCCAGAGTGGATTCTTACCTGCTCTCGAAGAGACAGAAGATGAAGCGCTTCTGGGATCCAACAAAAGCAGTCAAGTAGAAAACGAAGTTTCAAAAGCCACACCTATCACTAAATTACCTACTTTCTTCTAAACAAAGTACGTTTACAAAAGAAACAGGTCCAAGCCCAGTCCATCTTCAAAATATTTATGATCATAACTCACTCATTCAACAAATACAATGCGAACAGACTGTGCCGATGCCCTGGGTAAAATCACCGCACCTGCTCTTTGCTCCTTGCGTGTTCCACTGAAGCAATGCCCCTAAGAGACAAGAAGGGACTCCTCAAAATTCAGTTCCCACTGGAGCAACTCTCTATCCTGTGCCGGTGGGTGAGGTAAGTGCTGTCAGGAATGGGGCGCCCCCTAGAGGCCAGTCTTTTTCCGTTCATTAGAGTGTGGTTCTCACGTTGGTCCCTGGATCAACAGCATCAGCAAGTACTACCTGGAGCAGGTTGGAAATGCAAATTCGGGGGTCACGTCTGTCTCCGTCTGTTTGGGCTACTGTAACGAAATGCCACAGTCTGGGTATCTTATAAATAACAGAAACCCATTAGGTACAGTTCTGGAGGCTGGACATCCAAGATCCAGGCGCTGGCTGACTCGGTGTCTGGCGAGAGCCACGTCCTGGTTCACAAATGGCACCATGTAGCTGTGACCACACACGGGGAGGAACAAGGGAGCGCTTCCTGTTTCATTAGGGCACCAATCCCCCACACAGCCTAATCACCACCCAGGGACCCCCACCGTCCAATGCACTCTCCTTAGGCGGGATTTCAGCCTGTGAATTTTGGGGTGACAGCTCAGGCCACAGCCCCACCTTCGGCCGGCTGGGTCACACCCTCTGCTGTGGGGCAGCATCGCGTTCAGCCCTCTGGAGACTGACACGCACTGAATTTGAGAGCCGGAGAAGGACGGTGTCACGTGCAGAGAAATCAATTCTGCAGGCTTGAACCTAACCCGTCCTCCTCGGGCAGACAAGGAATAAAACTGGAGCTGTATCAGACGGAAGCACGGAGCTGCGATTTAGGAGATGCCACGAGACCAAACTGTGGTGTAATGTCTGAGAAGAAGCTTTTAGCGAGTCTAGAATTATGCCCAAAATATGGCTTTAAAGAACAAGTGTGCCCCTTGATGTAAATGATAAAGCGAGGTAAGCGTGATGCCATGGACAGGAGAAGCGTGTGGGTAACCCAGGCCCCCTCCCACCCCCCAGGCGAGGACGAAGTAGCTTCCGGGGCCCAGTCACAGCGTCTCCCGGCGGCAGGACTGCGCTCTGCCCCAGACCAGCCCCGGTCATCTGACTACGCAACGAGGCTGAACACAACGCGGTCAAGGTGGAAGTGAAAATAACAATAAAAACAACACTCGCCACATCTTCATGATCTTTTTTATTTAACATACGTAGTACATGTAAACAACTGGCATCAAATTCATAAAAATACAACACTGCCGTGTAACACCACCCTCCCCGACCTCCTTGCGCTCCGTCCTCACCGCCTGCCTTCAGCCCTAGAGGCCCAGCTCCCCGACACGCCCGGCTGTTCCCCCGCAGGCGATGTCTTTACCCTCCTTGCCCATCCCCCGTCCTCGCTCTCAAGCAAAAACATTTCTAAATGCTAAAAAATGCGTAAAATACTGAGCTTTAATACTGTTTTGTCATGTTCATCGAACCGACGACTACGCTACGTTGCCACAAAGGAGATTTACAATCTGCAGCCACTGCTGGGGGCGTGACGGAGGCCCCCGCGGACAGAGGCCCCGGCGTGACGGAGGCCCCCGCGGACGGAGGCACGCGTGCACGCAGCCCGGGCTCGCTCCGGTCCGGCCCCACGCGGACTCAGAGCTTACTGGCGCAGTTACCGTAATAACTCCTGGTGCGAGGGATCTTCTGAAATAAAGCATTTGGCTCCATGTACCCTATCCCAGCACAGGAAACAGTTATAACAGCATTTTAATGTCCAATCATCACATGTGAACTTACTAGGAGTGAAATTATCGGAGGGTGGGAAGAACAGAGAATAACTTTAAAAGCACTCGTTTTTAAAGAATTGTGGCTGAGTGTACAAATCAGCCGCACGCGGCGGGACGCAGCTGCAGACAGCCGAGTGCAGGGCCTCCTCCCACCCCACGATGCCATTCCCTGGATTGTTGCAGCTTTGCTCAAATTCTACTCCTAATCCACAACTCCCTGGCCGCTTCCCTGTTTTCTGAAACTGGCTAAACCCCAAGAAATAAAAGTCACCCGGCAAGCGGCAAAGAGAGGCCAGGCCCCCACAGACATGACCGAGTTTGGGGGCCAGAGGGGGGTTCCCGGGGAAGGTGGTGGGGAGGGCCTGGGGTTTGCACGCTTGGCTGGCTGCTCTAAGCTACAGCCCCCCCACCAGGCTTGTCCTTGGGCTCTGGTGAGAAGGCAAAAGACACAGCGATTCGGGCTCCCAGGAGTGGGCACCGAAACTGTCCCCGAGGACTCGGGTCTCAAGGACAACCCGCCTGAGGCTCATCTGCCTGTGGTTAATAAAGGGAACACTATAATTAAATGTGCAGTCCGCCAGAGGCATCGTTTGCTCAGAATCTGAAATCTTAAAACCATTTCTCAGAGCTATGAGGGGGGATCCACTGTTTGGGAAAATCTCATTTCACACAAATTAACTTCTAGATAACAAAAATTCGTACTAGGAATTCAAAGCAGGTTTGGAAAAATCTCAAATGAAAATAAATAGGAAGAACAAAATAAAGAGGAAGGCTGAATCTTCATTCCTCACACTGACATGGATTTTAGAACCAAAATTATAAGGCTTAAGGCTTTGTCTTATTAAAGACAGGCAATTTTGAAAGTAAAATATAAAAACTCCATTCATCATTATTCATTTACTTTTTGACAGAAAAGTTAGTCATGTTTTAGTACATCTTAATAGTAACAAAAACTATCCCACGCTACAGTCTATTGTTCACTGTGAATTATGTCTACAGAAATATACATTAGTTTCTGGATGCATTACATTTGAGGTTGTTCAAAATAGTTTTTCTTAAAACTGCAATTAAACATGAAACATTTTAAAAGTGGTTTAAAGGTATTAAAATATACACATTTGAATAATAGTAAAAATGAGAAAATACACACTTGCCATTAAATTTTTTAACCAAGAATAAGTATTTGATAAGAAATTAAATGAGTAAATACCACTTACTTGACAAAGAATGCTGGGGGAGGGAGAGGGAGAGGGAGGGAGGGTGGGAGGGAAATGAGGAGAGAGCAGACGCGCTAATACCACACTGCTGGTTGGTACAGGAATTTGGACCTGACCACTAGGTCTAGGAGTCTGGATTAATAATGGGCAGGAAATGCTTAGTTAACAAGAGCAACAGAGAACAAAAGAACGTGAAGGAACGTAAACAGATCATTCCACATAGCAAACAGCCATGGCCACGCCATCTACACTTGATGACAGGGACCAACATGACTGAGGAGCTCACAATAATCCTTGGAATGTCCCAAAGATGAGAGCAAGAGGCAGAATCAAAAGCAATGGGCATTAACAGTCTGTAAACTGTCAGAGCAGCCCCTGTGCAGCTCAGAACTGACTAGATTTTCACAACATCCTTGTCATGACCCATTATATCTTGTATACAAGTAGCTTTGCTTATTTTAGCACAAATAATTAGGTCAAATACAAGCATATACTCATTTGCATAGCAAATTTTAAGGGGTGCATTGAAATAGTACCCAATTGAAAATGGTATACATAGTTTTACAATCAGAATGACATTCAAATCAACCAAATAAAACATTTTCTATTTGAAAACAGTTAGCTATAAACGTTTTTGGGATCTGATTAAAAAGAAGGCATGAGTTATTAGCAAAACATTAAAACCATCTGCGATGCCGTTTTCTGTAGGCCGAGGTCATTCTTCTATAACTTCGAGGACTTTGTAAACACTGTTCTGGAACACGGTGGTGAAGTGGGGCTCGGAATCCTTCACCAGGAGGTTACACAAGGGCGGTTTCCCAGCATTGGCGGGATCTTCCACATCCCAGATCTCAGGCATACTGCAACCGGGCCTAGAAAAACCCACGCACAGGTTAGAGTCCAGGGCACGTCACGCACCGCAGACGAAGTGGCGCACCCTCCACGCCTGCCTCCTTTCACCTGGTCCACTGAACTCAGTGCTTTAAAGGCCTATCACAGTGCTTGTCTGTGTGTGAGCTGCCACAAATCCTCGGAGCAGGGTGAACACAGCGGAGGTGATTCCAAAGACAGACCTACAAGCTACGTGAGTGCAGGTGACAGGAACGAGCTTGGTTCCATTCTGCCTCAGCTACTCACCAGAAATGGGGATTTGTACGGCTCACTCAGCCTCAACCCCACATTTCAAAAACGGGAACTGTCCCTGACACAGCTGTGTGGAAGGATTGAGAGAGAGAGACCATCTAGCATCATGCCCGGCACTCAGTAAGAGGTAATATATTACATTAATTTCAAAAACTGTAACTGGCAAATATACTTAGTTTGTATTTAAGCAACTTCCCATGAACTGTGTTGCAGAATGAGCCAACTTCAAGAAAATCCAATAGTGTTCAGCTCACATCTTAACTAAACGCCTAATTAAATCTTGAAAGTTTAACCAATGTCACCCCAATACATTTAATAATAAAATCTTGTAAGTGATACGTACTTTAAAAGAATAGAAGTAAAACTGGTATTATGTGATATTTGCCCAAATAAGTTCTTCAGGATAACTTTAAAATTTATTTTAAATCTAGAATTGCTAGCTTTTGCTAGGATTCTTTTTTTTTCTTTTTTGGCTTTTGTATATTGAAGATTTTTATATTATTATATTCCAAATTGTCAATCTTTCTTTTTAGGGTTTACAATTTTGATGTCTTATTTAAAGAATTCATCCCTACCGCATTATCTTGAAAACATAGTGTGTGTTCTCCCATGAAAGTTGTAGCTTCTCACATTTAGATCTATAACTCATCTAAAATTAAGTTTTCTGTATGATGTGAGGTAGAGATTTAATTTTATTTTTTTCCACACAGAATAGCCTAGTAGCTCTTGATCCAACGATTATTTATCAAATCCATCCTTACACCCACAAATTAGTAGGTGACAGATTACTTTCAAATCTATATTGCCGAATTATTTATAATCACTAATGTAACATTAATGATTCAGGCAAGAATATAAACAAATGGCCTCCAAGAATTACTCTATAGACTTCTTATTAATTATAAAGGAACTCTGCCTCCTTAAACTGGAGAGGGGGGGAGGGGGGAAAATGCTTCAGTCACGTGACCAGACAGCATCAGCAACAAGGGAACCGCGTGGCATGCACCTACCACAGTGACACCATGAAAAGCACCCCCACCCCCGTAGTGTTCCTGCCAAATCGTCGAAATGAATCTGGTCATGAGGACTGAATCAGGACCCAGATGTGGGACACCCTCACAGGGAAACGGGCCTGAACCCTTCCAGAACATCAATAAAAAACAGAAAAGTGAGTGGAAGTTCACAATTTCCTATTTGTTTTAAGAAATTAGAAACACAGAGAAAAACATAGGAAGTGGCACAGCACTAACAACTGCTTGTGTTTTGTCACAGTTGTTTCACTTTTTAAAAAAATTGCTTTTCTTTATTGATTTTAGAGAGAGGAAGGGAGAGGGAGAGAGAGAGAGAAACATCGATGAGAGAGAACATCGATTGGCCGCCTCCTGCATGCCCCCCCCCCCCCGGGGGGATCGGGCCTACAACCTGGGCATGTGCCCTGACCGGAATCGAACCGGTAACCTCTTGGTGCAGGGGTCAACACTCAACCACTGAGCCACACCGGCCGGGATTCACTTTTTTTCTGTAAAGAGACAAAGCCATTCACAGCAAGTCCCTTTTATTCCCACAGCGATCTGCTCCCCTGCCCTCTGTCCAGAGGCAAGCACCACAGGAATGCAGTCCTTTCTCTTCAAAATCATCTTTCAAGGTAATTAATTACCCACAAAGTGTCAGAACAGACCCATTGAAATTAAAACATGGATGGTACCGTCACCTTCAGTGCCACTCTCAGAGGTGACTTCAGTAACAGCCCAGGACACGTTCTGCTAGTTTTATCTCCGTTCGGACACACACACACAGAGGCTCAGACACATTTACATGCACAGATGCCCCAGGTGGCTTTTAAATGGGATTATTCTGGGACTCCTCACTTGCCAATAAAACGTGACCACTTCCCCTCAGTACAGAGAACCCTTCTTTATCTTTCTGATTGGTGCAGTCTCCTCTGCATTACTTACTAACTCTTCTATGGGTGGATACTGTTTCCCATTTTGCCATAATGAGACAATGCTTACATAAACATTTCTGTGCCTCTATCTTTCTGCAAGCCAAGCTTCTAGAAGCAACATTATTGCTATGACAGAGGGTTACACCATTTTCACCATGCCTCTGTCAAATGCTTTCCACAGGTTTTCTCGGGGAGTGTCCCCAGGAAGAGTGTCCGGTGCACATTTTTGCACACCCTGGCTGACACCAGCATCTGCGACACTGAACACACATGCTACGACTGGGCATGGCTTTTCGACCTTTTCATTTTCTCCCACGGGCGAAGCCAAACTGTTACCACACCGCAGGCCAGCGGCACGCACAGTGGAATACACAGGAAGTGGAAACCACCGGCTCCTGAGTTCAACTAATTTCAGGACCAAAGAGAGAGCGAAGCTGCCTTTGTTGAGTTCCCAAAGTTTCCCCAGGCCGGCGGCCAGCCACGTCTTCAAACAGCATGAGTGACAACCTGAATACTTTTCTTCTGAATTCATGTATTTTAACTTCATGTCAACCGAGAATAAAAGAGTAGTTCATTCAAAGCTCACCTACAACTTGCACTGGAGTGTATTTTTGTACGTGTATTTGAACACAGGGTGTCAAGCAATTAAGGAATAATCAAGCCACACAATTAAGCCACTTATAAACGAGATCACATAATCTAGGGCTCACAAAGTGCCGGGCCCGTTCAACACCAGATAACCATCAGGCCCCTGCCCTCTCTTCTCTTCTCTTCTCCGCGTCCCCTGCCCCCGGGCCGGCCAGTTTCCGGCTGCAGCGGCACGCGGGTGTCTCGGGCTGGCACAACTGAGCTGGGCGAGGGCCGGGGCGAGCAGGGAGGTCCCTGCGGTGGACAGCCTGTCAGGAAACTCAATCCTTCCCACGGCAAAGCAGGCACTAGCTCTGGGTCCCCCTTCCCTCTCCTCTCCGAGTTCCCCATCTGCTTCCCTCTCGGAACAGAAATCAGAGTGTGCGCTCTTTCAAGGACTAAGCAAGTCCACCAGCTGAGGTTTCCTGATACTCATCGTCAGGAGGGCTGAAATCTGGTGGAACATCAAGAGTGTTGTTCTAGTTACTGACTGGGAACAACAGATCAGAGAGTCACGTCCTGACCCTCTTCCCGCTCCGGTCTGCTGGAACACCCGGGGGGCAAGTCAAGGTCCCCACAGGGAACTCAGCACCCCCGCCCACCCACCTCTGCATCCCAGTGCGGCAGTGAGCTCTGTGGAGAGGGGGCGATTCCCTGCTGTGCAGTGTGCAGCCGTCCTCCCAAGTACAGCCCCAGGGCTGTCTCCCCTCCCTCCGGACACGGAACCAGTGCTCTGCTGTCACAGCGTGAGCCCGGCAGCCACCAGTACCAGGCTCCCTCAGCTCCCCGCCGTGTCCACAGCACCGCGCGGGGCTCCAGGGGAAACGAAGAATCCCGAGCCAAGGCTGGTCATTCGCGTGGGGAGAGAGGTCACGAAACATGAAGTTTTGGTCCCAGCATCCCACCGGTGTGTCAGGTGGCAGGGGTCACCCAGCACATAGTTACTGCAGTGTCCTCATAAAATTATGACAGAAGCTGTGGCATTTTTGTCCTCAGCTTACCCAGCAAAGCTCATTAAAGGTGAGTGTGCGAATTTCAAATACATTCTTATGTTCAAAAGGAGTTAAAGCATTTTGTAAATTATGACTCTAAGAACAGTAACATTTTCTACAGATCCTGATTCAAGTCAAGTCGCTTGGGATATATTCACAGAAAAACCACTCAACAATCAAGTGTTTGAGCTCCTGGTGGGCAATGCTGACAAACTTGGCCAGAACGGTGTGTACTCCTGAGTCGATGTCTAATTACTCTGTCTGATCACCCCTGCGCCCCACTGACACACAAGCAGAGTATCACGAGTGAGCTGCAGACATCAGTCTCCGAAGGCCTCTCGGAAGAGGGGTGAGCTCAGGGAACAGTAGTATTCCACAGAGCACCCCTGGTTTCGGATGAAACTGCTCCCATCCGCGCCCCTCCTGGAGCCAGCGCTCTGGCCTCCCGACAGCTGCTGTCCTCGGTCTCTAGTCTCCCAGGTGCGGACACGGTCCCTGTGGAACTCACCTAAGCTTTGCGGGTCTCACTAACTCTTGGGCTATATTTTGCTTCACGAACGTCTCTATGAAAATAGATGATTTTTACAAACCCAGGAGCATGTGGGTCAGAGCAGAGTTAGTTATTTTCCCACTGAAATGAGATGGGACACAGCGAGAGAGAAGTTCCTGTCTAAGCCGACGCTGGGAGGGTCCCGTCCACCACAGGACATGGTGTGTCGTAGGGATGTGGGGGGACAAAAGGGGCCCTGAGCCTCAGCGCTTGACTTCTGTCATCATAGCAAGACTCTCTACCATTTGTCTCAGACTCCACAAGTCCTTTGAAAGAAAATACCTCCAACTTGAAATACAAGATTTAAAAAACATCACAGGCAAATATGAATAATTCAGGAAATTATCAACCGGTGCCTATGTAATGCCTTTAAGGAAGCACACAGGTGCACATCATTAGAAAAGAAACAGATGTTTGTAATGATTAGGAAAGAAAAAAACTCCAATTCAAATAATTATCTTAAAAAACTTTTTCCACTTATACTTTGCTAAACGCTACAAATGTCTCATGTGGACGACTTAATAAAGCACTTGCCCATGAGACTGGAGAACTTCACATTCTGTGATGATGCAACACTAACTGTGTTGATACTTACTTGGATCTTCTCACACACCAGGACTCTTCTAGAATGTAATAATTCACCTGTAACTTGATCAATTCCCTCTTCACTTCTTCAGCTGCTTTTCGACTATACATCGAGTATACGATTTTTGTTCTGGCTCTTTAAAGAAAAGTAAACGGGCAGAAGAATGTCAAGATTAAAAAGGATGCAATCAATCGGTCTGGAAGACAGCAGCGAGCGCTCAGGAGAACTGTTCACAGGGGTCACCCCCAGGGCCCCGGGGAGGGAGGTCAGAAGAAAGATAAAAGGGGGTGGCCCCGGAGTACTGGGAAAAGGGGTCCTTACAGTTGGGCTTTTTGTCTGTTTGCTTGTTTTTGTTTTAAATTCTTCATCATCGATCACAAATGAGAGTGAGGGACCCTGTGTGTAGACAAGATATGCTGCACAAGCGTACAGCACTTGATTCATTTTCTTTATCGATTTTAGAGAGAGGGGAAAGGAGAGGGAGGGAGAAAAACATCAACTGGCCGCCTCCTGCATGCCCCCACTGGGGATTGGGCCCAGACTCGGGCAAGTGCCCTGACCGGGAATCGAACCGCGACCTCTTGGTGCAGGGGTCATGCTCAACCACTTGCTGCACCGCCGGACACCACACGCACTTTAAAGCTGCAGGGCCAGCTCTGACACCAGCAGCAGGTGGCAGTCAATGGCTCTCCATTATATGCTGGGTTTTTAAAAGCCAGATTTACCCAACTTAATTGCTCTGGAAATTAGCTTGCACAACTTGATTTTTTTAATGAAAAAGTTTCTTATTTATAAAATGTATGTGCCACAGTTAGACAAAGAATGTATTACTAGGATTCACCCAGTCCCTTGGCAAATCAATAGTATGGTCTCCCCTAGAAATTGCACAAAAATGAAATCTATTTCCTTTTCAAAAGGAACATACTTTATGTGCTTGAGAAAAAATTGTAAAAAACAAAACACAAAATAATTCTAACAGGTTATACTAGTGAAAACCAGAATTAAACCCTCTTTGAATGGGGCTCTATTTCGACTGGCCCCAAGAATCCAGGGAAATGGCCCGTAAGAAACCCTTCCCAGGCACCGGGCTGACCCTTCCGGGAAGCCGAGGGCGACGGGGTATACCCTCGTGTTTCGGGGCGTGGCCGCCCCCCGGCAGCCGATATGCGGCGCTTCCTCAGCGGCTGGCGGAGAACTAACCCGACGCGGACTTGGCTGCTCCATGAGCCTCAGCTTTCCATCTACCTCAGCCTCAGTGCAGCGTTTCTCCCGGGTCCATGGTCCCAGCTCAACACAGCCTTTCCACACACCGCTCGTTATTCTGCTGGTTCCCTCATTACTGCTATGGAAGATCTGTTTCAACGTGCGGACTGTGCACTGACCTCAAACCTGTACCCTCGTGGTGCGGGGGGTTCACGGCGTGAGGACTGCGCACTGACCTCAAACCTGTACCCTCGTGATGCGGGGGGTTCACGGCGTGAGAACTGCGCACTAACCTCAAACCTGCGCCCTCGTGGTGCGGGGGGTTCACGGCGTGAGAACTGCGCACTAACCTCAAACCTGCGCCCTCCTGATGCGGGGGGTTCACGGCGTGAGAACTGGGCCCTAACCTCAAACCTGCGCCCTCGTGGTGCGGGGGGTTCACGGCGTGAGAACTGGGCCCTAACCTCAAACCTGCGCCCTCCTGATGCGGGGGGTTCACGGCGTGAGAACTGGGCCCTAACCTCAAACCTGCGCCCTCCTGATGCGGGGGGTTCACGGCGTGAGAACTGGGCCCTAACCTCAAACCTGCGCCCTCCTGATGCCGGGGGTTCACGGCGTGAGAACTGTGCACTGACCTCAAACCTGCGCCCTCCTGATGCGGGGGTTTCACGGCGTGAGAACTGCGCCCTAACCTCATACCTGCGCCCTCCTGATGCGGGGGGTTCACGGGGTGAGAATGGCACACTAGCCTCAAGCCGGCATCTTCAAAATGCGGGGGGTTCACGGCGTGAGAACTGCACCCTAAGCTCAAACCTAAGCCCTTGTGATGCGGGGGGTTCACGGCGTGAGAACTGCCCCCTAACCTCAAACCTGCGCCCTCGTGATGCCGGGGGTTCACGGCCTGAGAACTGCACCCTAACGTCAAACCTGCGCCCCACGGCGTGAGAACTGCGCTCTAACCTCAAACCTGCGCCCTCGTGATGCGGGGGGTTCACGGCCTGAGAACTGCACCCTAACCTCAAACCTGTGCCCTCGTGATGCCGGGGGTTCACGGCCTGAGAACTGCACCCTAACCTCAAACCTGCGCCCCACGGTGTGAGAACGGCGCACTAACCTCAAGCCGGCATCTTCGTAATGCGGATGGTTCACAACAGGCCGAAGCGCCGACAGCTTCACACTGGCCATCGTGGGCATGGCGCCCGCAAACACTGCGTCTGCAAAGCAGGAGCGGTGGCTCAGAAAGACCCCAACCCAAGAAGCGGAGACCCAGCCCGAGGAGCCTGGCCCAGGGGTGTGACTGCACGCTGCCCGGCAGACCCGCAATCCAGTCGCGTGGCTATCCAAGCAGCAGCCAGCACGCGAGCTCGGGCGACCGGCTTCCTCAGAAGACAGAGCCTCATCGTCTCACTACTGAGAATGTTTGTTTTGTTCCTTTTAAACATCTTGGAGGTCTTTCCTGATTCTGGGGAAGAAGTATCAAATTGGCTGAAATTTTTATAGCACCAAAAAAATTCTAAAGATGATTTAATAGTCAGTGATTTGATATGCAAATGACAACAAAATCTCCCCATTCAAACGTGAAGATTCCATGACTCCATTTCAAGAAGGAATTTGGATTACGATTAAATACTCATTATGAAAATAAACAAAAATTATTTTAAATTGTGGCATGTAAAACTTAGACAAAATCAGAATTGATGGAAAACAGCAAACAGAATTACTAAGAAAATACACAAAGCGTTTCCTCTGCACACCACTTCGGTAAGATTGGCATCTCTCACTCTGGATAATGCAGAAGCAGCACTAATGACACAGAGGAAGGCTACTGGCAGCAACTTAAAGTTGAGGATTTTGCAGCGGCATATAAAATTTGGGAAAAACACTACCTAAAAAATACTTTTCTTACCTGGTTTAGTACTGTATTTGATCCATTCTATAAGTTCCTCTTGCGGCAAGTTGCTGAACTCCCCCACGATGTTCCACTGGGCCTGCAGATTCGCTGAGCCCTGTATGGACATCGCTGCTAACAGAGCAACAACCACCGCACCAGGATGCACTTTGCAGAAGAGCCATCCAAACAGCTGAAACCAAGTCAGAGACGCAGTGGTAATTAATTGTTAGTAGAAAGCATGTATCCAATAAGCAAAAGTTCTCCCCGGAGAACAGCAGTCTCCGCTAGAGTCCCAGATAAAGCATGAATTACCATAGAGAAGTTCCAGAAATACTGACCCTAGGAATCAAAAGCATCTACCACCAGCCCTTCAAGTGGGCCATGGTTTGAGAGGCCCTTCTCTCAGCGTGCCCTTCTGCTCCCAGGCTCAGGCAAGGCTATGGCCACCTAAGGAATTTGCCAGGCCCACCGCAAACCAAAAACGTGGGGTCCCCTTGTTCAGAGATTATGAAGAAGATCAAAAAAGCAACAGAAGAGCATGAAGCTAGGTGCAGGGCCCTTCCCGGTGGACTGTGCATGCAGAGCCCGCACACCATGGGGCCAGCCCAGGGCATCTGTGGCCCTCAGTCACACTGCGGGTCGGACTGAAGGGAGATGCTTCCAACCAGCCTCCTTTCCTGACCGGCCCGGAGGGCCCAGGAACAGCAGCTTTTCCACTCGACCAGCCTCCAGAGAGCGGGGCCTCTCTAACTGGACGACATGCCGCCTAGTTCTTCCATATTCGGACAGTCCACCTCAGTAACAGCACTGTCTCTGCCGTTCTCTCCCACAGATTATTTCACGAGGACACACACAGAAACTTTTGTTTTCAGGTTTTTCTATCCACACTCTACTGTCATCCCTAGAGTGTGATTTCGATGCTTGGTAAACACTGCTACGTTTGAAAGGTACTGCTGTAGCATCCTGGCTGCTTGACGGATGAAAAGGTGATGCTGTGGAAGCATAAACCTGAATACTGAGCAAGGGGGCAGGTATCCAGGAAAAACAAGCAGCAAATAACCAACAGGGCTTCAGCCCAATTTGAACAGTACAGCAGTGAAATTGAGTGTGTCTGTATGCACATGTATACTCAATGAAAAAAATGTTTAAAGCTTCACACTGAAAGAACATATAATTTGAAAGTACATATCACTTGGAATCATTTGTTAGAATTCTTTGTGATATAAATGTCAAAACAACAAAAAAAAAGTATTTCTACAATTAAGCTCTGCTTTCAATCAACACATGTAGTAATCATTCATGAATTTACCACACTGACTGTTGTTTGTCAAGGACTATTCTAGAAATGAGAAGATTAGAAAATGATCAGCTTTGCCATTTTAGGAGTAATTAGTACAAAGCCAGGAAGAATTTCGATGATGATCACTTAAGGAACTTCGGGTAATGCAGTGTCATTTTCGGGTCCCTCGGTAACGAAGGCTTAGGACTGTCACCGCGGTCACAAGCCAGGGCAGCACCCCCGCACCTGTCTGGAGCAGATTAGGGAAGCCATCACACACATGTGCGGCGTCAGAAAGAGTTTCAGCCTCATAATCAGAACGCCGAGGGCCGTATACGCTATCAGCTGCAACGCGTGGTAAACCAGCTGAAAGAAAGAGAAGAGGATTTTTACTCCTGCTGCTGTGAAGCTGAAGAATATATTATTAAAGTGGTGAGTAAACGGAAAAGGGTATTTTTTCTTAGTATCAATACTTTAATGTCTAAAATAAACAAGTCATGAAATTCACTTTCCAACTTCTCCACTTTACCAGAGGGCTGAAATCACACCACTACGGCCCAGGGTTCGGCAGCTCCGCCCAGAGTCACGCCCCAGAGAATACAGCCTGTTCTCCCCGCGGCCACCTCGGGTCCAGGCGGAGGGGAACCAGAAAGAACGGCCGTCCCGGTCCCGGAGCTCCGCCTTGGAGCGGCCGGCAAAAACAGGTTGAAATACGAAATACGGCATAATTAGCTGGTCAGTATGCTTTGGCTAAGAGAACAGATGTTAAAAGTCCTCAGCAGAAGGAGAAAATAATTTTGTAACTAAGCATGGTGGCGACATGAACTACACTGATCGTGGTGATCATTTCCCAATGTATACACATTCGAATCATTACGTGTTGTAGGTGAACCTATAATGTAACGTCAATTATACATCAATTTAAAAAGAAGAGAAAGGAAAAAAGAAGAAAGAAAACAGGCTGAATCACCAGGAGGCGGGAGTAGCACCAGCCACACGCCAAAGCCCAGGCAAGGGGAGCAGCGGGAAGGGATCTCCACAGGCCTGCCAGCAGGCTCCAGGACCAGGGTGATGACCTGAGAACCCCTCATGAACTTCCTACTTGACAAGGGAACGGTCACCTGTGTAGCCTTCTCATAAAACCACATGCAGGCCTATTTTGAAGGTGATGAGTGACATTTACTAATACATGTAGAAGCTGGAACTAGAAAGAAAGGTCCAAATACACACACGTGAAAACACGGTACATTTTAGCGACATTCAGTCTTTACCTCTCCGTGATCAAACTGGTGTTTTCTGAAATGGAAAAAGAAATTCTGCGATTAAATCACTGTGGAAGCACTTACTTCCATTATTTGCATTTTTATCTTACAAATACGAGTTTTACCACTTCTATATATTCCCTCAGGGCACATATATGTAAATCAAAATAACTAAAAGTTACAAACCAAAACTGGTGCTACAATCTTTTAAGACAGTTTATTGGGCAAGAAGTGACAATCTGCACAGGCTGGAGATTTGACGACACGGACATTTATTAGACCAGTGAAAGGCACGCAGGTGTCAGAGGCCTCCCTGGCGACGCCCTGGCACAGCGGACTGAAGAGGAACACCTCGGCCTGCACAGCGCCCCCAGTGGTCCCTCAGCTCCCCTTAAACTGGAAGCCACGTGGGAGATGACTTTAGCAGCCTCTCTGGAATATGCAAATAGCCTCAAAACTCCACCTTTGCCTTTGCTGGACAGTTCCCATTTCCTGAGGAAGGACACATGGTTAGAGGCCCTGTCCTCTCCCCATTGATAGATCACAGGAGAGCAATCTTTTGAAAATGGGAATCCAGGCATGCCTCGCCCTTACTCCAAACCCTCCAGTGGATTCTTCCGTAATTAGAATAAACTCCCAAACCTTAACACGCTGCACACGGTCCTCCTAGGCTGCTCCCCACATCTCATCCTGGAAACTCCTGTCCCACCGCGTTCCCTCTTGGTCACCATGCTCCTCCCCCAGACTCACACTGCTCCTTCCAGCCTAGGGGGCGCCCTCTCCTCCACCACGGCCCTCATCTCCGCCTGAGCTCACAGACATCGAGCCTGCCATGGGTTTCTCTGATTATCACCCGTCTCCCTGAGCACCGATGGCCCTGCCCGTATGCGGCAAACGGTGCGAGAGGCCTCTGCCCTCACAGCTCAGTCGTGGGAGAGTGAAAGCAAACACGGGGGACCCTGCTCCTCACATCTGTAACTCGATCGGCTCTCCTCCACCGCCCCTCTACACTGCACAGGATTTAGGTCCTTAGGCCAGATGCCACGGCAGGGTGCCGTCCTCCTCTCGGGGCAGCTCCGGTCCTGCTCGAGGTGACCCCTTAGCCCAGCGCATTCTGTCCCCGTTTCCTCGGGAGGCGCGCTCGGAGGACGGGTCTGCGTCTGCCGTCCTGCCCTCCTCCCCAGGGGAGCAGCGGCACTAACAGCTGGGACTCCGAGCCACTGCAACCTGCACAGACCTGCCCGAGCTCCTCAAGAAAAATTTCACCTCAAATGAAGGAACTTGGCATTCTATACCAGAGCCTTCTCCTTGTCCCCGGCTCCCGGAGGCTTCAGTACCAACAAGAGTGAGGCTACGGCAAACTGTTTCTAAATGAGAACAGGATGGTCTCAGGGGTACATGCTGGTTGGTAGAAATTTGTAAGTAGCAAAAAATATATAAGGCTGTGTGTATTCAAGTTATGAAAGAATATACAAACACATACACTGAACAATCCCCCTCCCCCCAAATCCAACGAAAGCATGGAAGCGGAATTCAAACTTCCTTTACTCTGTCCTCCAGCCCTGTGCTCTTAACCGTTACAGGTTTCATCCTTCCAGATCCTTCCCATGCACTCACAAACATACCCAATCTTCTTTTTTTTTAATCCCCACGCAAGGACATTTTTGCATTTATCTTCAGATAGAGCGGAAGGGAGAAAGGGAGGTAGAGAGAGAGAAACATCGATGTGAGAGATCACATCGACCAGTTGAGAGACACATCAACTGGTCGCCACCCACACGATCCCACTGGGGCTGGGGACAACCTGCAACGAGGTACGTGCCCTTAGTGGGAACCGAACCCGGGACTCTCTGGTCTGCGGACCGACACCCCAACCACTGAGCCAAACCAGCCAGGGCAATCTTCATATTTTAAAAAAAAGGGGGAACCACCCTATATAGCTTTGTCCTGTCTGTACTGAATGATGGGGAAGGAAGTATTTCATGGAGGTGGCCAGCACTCCATCTATGACTGGGTCACAGCTAAGCACCCCTCCTAGAGGACCTGCGCTGTTTCCTCCGCTCACTCTGCACACACCACCCCGTGGGCAGCGGCACTGTCTCTGCGTCCTGCGCGCACACGCGGAGGCGCGCGCCCTGCAGAGCTGCTGGCTCAGGCACAGCCGGATGTCTCCTGCACGGCCACGCTTCAGGAGACACAGTCCCAGCATCGCTGGTGACAGACGCTGAGAGAGCCGCAAAGGGTGTGATGGGGAAGAACGACAGGCAGGAGGCATGGAGTCTACTCAGAAACGGTGGCAGGGAGGCTTCCTGAAGGAGGTGACAGAAAGTAGGGAGATAAGGAGTTGGCCATGCAAAGAGCCAGGCTGTGGGGATGGGTGGGGTGCGGGTGGGGACCCGGAGGGGCTCGGGTACAGCCACTGCAGAACTGCCAAGGCAGGAACCGCTGGCTCGTCACAGTTGGAGAGCAGAGGCCACAGGACAGGATGGTGGGAAAGGGAAGGGGATGTGTCTTCCTTTCAACTGCCCGTCCGTGTCCTTCACTCAGCTTCCTAATGGGTTTCTAGAATTCTTCCTGTTAATTTATGAGATTCTTTCTCTCTGATTGGTCATTAGTCCCTTGTCATATATTCCAAATATTTTCCCCAATTTGTCTTTTTCTTTGAGCATGCTTTGAGTATCTTACCAAGTATGTATCTGGTCAACCCTGTCATCTTTTCTTCCAGCTTACAGGGTTTTATCTCATACTTAACAAGGCCTCTAACCCTAAAAGTATAACAATGATCTCTTGGTTAACTTTGAGGTTTCATTTTTTTGCCCTGTATTTAAATCTTTGTTCTATCTGAAATTTATTTCGCATAAAAAGTAAGGTATGGATCCAGGTTTATATTTCCCTGCCCTTCCCTGTGAAGGCAGCGCTGGCCCCGAGGCCGTAACAGAATCCTGTGCTGTCCCCGCCTGCCCACGGCTCAGCACTGTCCCCGCCGGCCCACAGATGGCCCACGGCTCAGCACCGTCCCCGCCGGCCCATGGCTCAGCGCCGTCCCCGCCGGCCCACAGATGGCCCACAGCTCAGCGCCGTCCCCGACGGCCCAAAGGTCCCGTGCAGGGCTACGGCTGACTGGGCTGACGGGACCCGGGGCAGGACAAGCGACATGCTGAGCTCCGCACAGGTAGGAGGTAATGAGAAAAGCAAAGGGGATGACAACCATCGAAAGCAGCGATTAGCAAATGTCAAGTACACAACACGGAACTACACAATTAACACACCAGAAATATCGACTTTATGGTAAATAGAGGAAGTAACAAAATTATTAATAGCATATTTACCTTATATGTGTCTGCTGTTTAGTTAAGACACCCCACATGTCACTAATAATCTGCAAATAGATTTTAAACACTTTAGAATAGCTGTTTTGGGAAAAACAAAATGTTAACTGCGTAAAGTGTTTTCTAAACTTTCACTTGAATAGAGGTATGGAGGTAAGAGGTAACTCGGAAAGTAATCATTACAATGACCCACCCTCACACTTGTATGGTTCTTGAGCATCTCTGACACCCAGCGCCCCTGTGCGGGCAGATTTTATTGTCCTGTTTGTAAACGAGCACCAGGCTCCGCTGGACTGAATGACCTCCTGAAGGTGGCAAAGCCCTGCTGGGTCTTCACACCGAACTGCGGCTCCCGATTCACACCCAGTGACTTCCGCTCCCGATTCACACTCAGTGACTCCCGATTCACACCCAGTGACTCCCGATTCACACCCAGTGACTTCCGCTCCCGATTCACACTCAGTGACTCCCGATTCACACTCAGTGACTTCCACCCCCTGCTGCTGGCGAGGCCTCCCCTTCCCTTCAGGCATGATTGGAGACCTGGGTTTTCATATTTAGCAGTAACTGCGAGGCCATCCGATCTGAAGGGCCATCCCCGGGACGGTGCCTCTACGACCCTGCTGACGGGTTCGTCCAGCTCTCAGCACTAGCTGCTGCCTACATCTGACACTTTCCTAATCAGTCTGAGTCACTTCTGGTCAAAGGTCCAATCTCCTGGAATTGGCCAGAATTCTAAAAAGCCAAAATGAATGTAATCATATTTCCAAGTGGCAGGTTTTTAAATATGTGCAAACAATGATCCTCTTTCCATTCGAATCTTTCTTCTTAAATCAAACATCCCCACTTCTTGAACCTGATCTGATCATCCTCGTCATCTGCAGCCGTCCAGATGGCTGTCTCTTTAACACAGTCTGGACTGCCGACACCCAGACTTCCTCACTCCCTTCTGGGTGCGGGCCCCCACGAGGCACGCAGAGCGCAAAGGGGGCAGAGAGCCTGGCAGCAGCAGGAGCTGACTGACCACAGCCCATCGGACGTGCAGAGCGCCCGTGAGCAGGGTAGGTGCCCGTCTGGCTGCGCTCCTCCTAGCTTCAGTGGGTACGATGTGAGGCTGGTGGCGACCTCTCTGACCTCCCAATTCTGCATCTGTCCAAATGGGGACAATAATGTCTGTGCTTCACAGGGCTGTCCAATAGCCAGCTGAAATAGCTGAAGTGTTTTGGGGAAGTACAGATATATAATGTGAATGATAATTATAGCACAGAATATCTACAAATGTATGACACTGTTAAAACAGCAGCACTGAGGAAACTCTCAGGGTCTAGCATCTATTTTTCTACGACAGATTGATCTCAATTCGTTCTTTTAAAACGCCTTCAGTTAAGTGCACCAACTCTTAAAAGGAGAAAGAGACCATCACACCCCCCTTTGCTAAAGGCTGCAACTTCCCTGCCCTGGTTTATGTCTGGGCTTAAAGAGTTTCACCATCAAAGCCAAGCTGGGGAGTCTGACCACGTTACTGAGTTTAATAATATACTGCTAATATTCTACTTTTCCTTTTGATTTATAATAAATTTGATCCAGGAGCTAGTGAGCACTGCACAGATGACTTAGAAAGGCATACATTACAGACTTTAGGGAAATACCACATAAAAGTTAAAAGCAAGGCAGTGGTAATTCACACAGGCAGAAACGACCGTATCTGGGCCAGTGAGGTCTCTGGTCTTGCTTTCACGCACACGACTATCAAAACGTGGACCACCCTCTTCCTCTATTTTAAGCTGGAGGACGGCAGGGTATTTCTAAGGCTTGGAAATGCTCGCCAAAGGCTGTTAGTAAGAAAACACAGATGTGTCTCAGCAAATCCATACAAAATGTGTGTCAGATTAACACGCAGCCTGGTACACACATCTCCTATACAGAAACAGGGAAACACTTCCCTGAAGGAGAGAACTCTTCAGGGGCAGACGTACCTTCCTGACAATTGCAACAAACACGACGAGGACGACGGGAAGCAACAGCGTCTTCGTGTACCGCAGGGGGGTCTGGAAGTCAGAGGTGCTGTTAGAGGACAGTGCTATTCTGAACAGACAAAACTTCATTGCAAATAATGAACCAAGCGAACTGAAACATGCGCATGCACCCACCTGGGGTCCCATCTGGACTCCCATCATAAAAACGAAGATGCATTTCCGTGGACACAAACTTCCCCAAAATGTTGAGTTGAAAACACTAACGGATACAGTCCTCAAACACATGTAAGCGTGAAACCTGACTAGAGAGATTACAGTTCACCTTAGCACACCCCTTTCCTAACTAGGGGACCCAACTTTATATTCACCTACGGTCAACAGAACTCCTTCCAACAGCAGGAGCTTTCTTTGTACATTTTGTGGGGGATTAAAATCTCAGCCATGATCCAATCTCACACACACACACACACACAATGACCAACATTTACTAAAATAAAAAGAACATTCCGGCATTTTCTTTAGTAACAGATTTTAAAAACTTAAAGCCTGACACACTGCAATCCTATACACCTCTCAATAATTTGAAGTCACAGTCTTAAACAATCCTGAACTTGAAATTTCTAAATTGCGGTTGATCTGCTTACTACCTACACTTTCCCTCACAAAGCAACTCTTTATTATTGAGTCAAATAATGTACACTTTCCCTAATACGTTTATAAAGAGAAATCTAGCTTCAACAGCATAAAAAAATACTGGTACAAAGTATGCACTAAGTAGCATTTTCTGATTTTTCCCTCTTAGTCTAATTTTTCTCACTTATTATTCTGTATTAGATGAGTAATTTTGATAATTTATTGTACAAAATATATACTTCATGAGTTAGAAGTCCTATTAAGAGAATTTTTATCTTACGATTTACCTTTATAAACATTTGCATAGTACTTAATATTTTAAAATATACATACATTTATTTTGTAAATTTTACATTATGTCTTAATCAAAGCAAAACTCATATAACTGAAATGATTTTAATATTTTAAAAATTAGATATTTTCTAATAACAACTAACAAATATAACAGAAGTTGTAAGATACAGGTATTTACCTTAAAAAGACAATCCATCACAATTGTGTTAGAAGTATTTAACAAAGTGTTAACATGTTATTCCAGTAGTTTAAAAGATATTTTAAAATATTTCTGTCAAAGAAAATCGGATTAACACCAGACTTTGACAGAAATACTTCTGACTAGGAGAGAGCAGAGTACCTTATTTAAGACACTCAAGACAAGATACATGAGTCAAGACCCGCACCTGGTCACCTGACCTTCGCGTATGGAGCCCCTGATAAAACATCTGAACCTGTGAACACTCGGGATCACTGTGCCCATGAGCCCGTCCTAGGAACCCATGGAGACAAGCTTCACAACCTCACAATGGCAGGAGGGGCTTCATGAGCCTTAAAATCACTGACCTACCAAAGCTGATGCAAGGAGACTTGACTTGGGGTGGTGAGCACAGAATATAATATAATATACAGATGTTGTATTATAGAATCGTGCACCTGAAACCTATATAACCTGATTAACCAAGGTCACCCCAATATATTCAATAAAATAGAGCAAACAAAAACCCCACTGACCTATCAAACTGACAATGACGGAAATAGAGGGAAAGACAGTGTGAGTGGTTTACGTGTTCTGATAATGAAGATACAGTGGGACTCTTAGAAGTGGGGCAGGAGGGGAAGAGGACGCAGAAGCAAAATAATCTCACTGGTTACAGTATCACAATAAATGAGAAATGGGTGAGACCTAGGGAGGGCAAGAAGTGACTAGCCAAGTTCAGTACAGCCCTCAGGAGGAAACTCACGGAAGGGACTAAGGTTAATATAGAAAGGTATTAACATAAAATTATAAAGCTTCCTCAATATCTAAGATATACCAGATAATGTGCACACAGAACAAATGCAAAGGTACACACCCCACACAGTGAGAGAGGTGTGTGTGTGCACGTGTGTTCTATTCTAATGACCAGTTCTTTTACTTTAACGTTTCTTTATAATTCTTTACTTTATTCTAAGCATATATAATAGGTTATGTATGCTCATTGTAAAAACTGGAAAATGCAGGAAAAAATAAAGATAATTTCACATTTTATTTATTTATTTTTTTTATCCTCACCCAGGGACATTTTTGCATTTATCCTCAGAAGAGTGGGAGGGAGAGAGGGAGAGAGGGAGAAAGAAAAATCAATGTGAGAGAGACACATCAACTGGTTGCCATCCGCACAACCCCAACTGGGGCTGGGGTCCAATGGCAACCGAGGTACGTGGCCTTAGCGGGAACCAAACCTAGGACTCTCTGGACCACGGGCCGACGCTCTAACCGCTGAGCCAAACCAGCCAGGGCTAATTTCACATTTTAATCAGTTACCAGTATTTCCTCCCTCCCAGATTGCCTGTTCATATCCTTCACCCATTTCTGATACGCGTGGGCATAGGGATGTGCTTTTGGTGGGGGGGAAGGGTGAAAGTTCTTGGTAATTTTTTTATTGATTTAAACGAGCTCCTATATTAATCTCTAGTTTCATTCGTTATGTTTATGGCAAGAACCATCCCAATCCGTCATCAGCTTTTTTATTGTCACAGTGTCTATCGTATAGATGTTTTAAGTGACATGCACACAAGTCTATTCATCCGCCTCATGTGCCCGCTGCACTGGTCTCGCTTGTCAGAAATGAAGTGCTGTTCGCTGAAAGGGCTTTCAAATTTATTTTTCAGGCTTCATTATCGTTAAAGCTTGAATTAACTGAAATAAAGTTTGGTGTATAATATGATACAAAGTTGTTGTTTTTTTTATCCTCACCTGAGGACATTTTTCCATTTTTTGTTCAGATAGAGTGGGAGGGAGAGAGATGAAGAGAGAGAGAAACATCGATGTGAAAGGGACACATCGAGTGGCTGCCACCTGCACGACCAACCAGGGCCGGGGACAAACTGCAACCGAGGTACGTGCCCTTAGCGGAAACCGAACCCGGGTCTCTCTGGACCGCAGGCCGACGCTCTAACCGCTGAGCCAAACCGGCCAGGGCTGATACAAAGTTTTAAACTGACTCCCCACCCCAAATACAATTTTCATAAAATAATATTCATGAAAAAATACATCTTTTATCCATTTATCTGTGTACTCTTGTCATGTCGTGTTAACCACACACACATAAACACAGTTAAGTACATCACATGGGTGTACCCAGCATTAAATGTTCCTAAAAATGTTGGCCATAAAAATGTTCCTCTCTTGGTTCCCCGTATTTTCAATACTGGTACTATCCATTTTCTTATCTAAAAGGGAAAGATTTTCCCTTACTGATTTTCCTTTCTTTTTACAGAATAAAACTAATATACGATTATTGTAGAAAATGTAGGCGATGTAAACTACAAAAAGAAATTAATTATTGACTCTCTCTCACCCTGAAACCACTGTTAAAGTTTGCTCTTATACTCTAACGGATGTGTGTTAATTATAAGTACATAAGATTGTACCATTTTGCTTACTTCAATATACATCTTAAGTGTCTTTCCAAATCAGTATGATATCACGTTAAATTGCTCCTTTTCCCCAGCGCGTGGACGGGCGTACCATTCGATGCGCTCTGACCAGGCGCACACGGTCTGTGCAGCACAGCCCCGGAGCAGAGACTACGAGATGGGGAATGGCGGGCTGGGCAGAGCTTCGCCACTGTCTCCAGACGGCTCCTTCTCCCCCGTGACTGACGGCTCACACTCTCAGGCTGCAGTGCCAGGCATATCCTGACCGATGTCGAGGGACTTCTGTGTCCTAATTCTCTGCTGCTGTTTCCCCTCTATGGCCGTTACCACTTTCTTGAAGGAGTTTTGACCTGCTATGAATGTGCATTTAGTGTCTTGCAGGTCAGCACTGTCATCCGTGCCCCTTCATCAACCAGTGTGTGTCGAAACAGCGCGCGTACACGGGCACGCAGGCTGCTCCGCTCAGGGCGCCGGGCTGACTCACTGTGCTGCGCGGCGCGCCGGTCCGCGGGTCTGGGACCCGGACGCGGCTAACCGTGGAGCCCAGGGAGAAAACGAGGGTGTCAACATGTTGGCCAGTTAAACACATGCACACATACAGCCTTCAAGAAACATGGTTCACAGAAAATAGTCATAATAAAGCAGGGCCACATGGGTGGTGTAAAAAGACACATACATACATGTTTTGGAACTAAACTAGCTCATGAAGTGCTGCAAAATCGTAACTTCTATAAAATACCATTAAAAGCGCAAAGCACTCTGCTATGTGCCCCATCTGTGCGCGTGTCACCTGCCTGCAGCAGCTACTGGAAATGAGGAACTATGTCACAAAGGCGGGGGCAGCTGTCCAAGAACATCAGGTGGCATTGCAGACTTGCCTCACAGGCCACCAAACTACCCTCTGGCTTCCTCCTCAGCACCTGAATACGGCTTTAACAGGAAACTGCTGTTGGAATAAGAAACTTGTACTTGGTCACATTTCAAAGCAGTGACACCATTCACACGAACCGCCTCAGTGAGTGGCAGCGAAGAGCCGGCGACGTCACTGCCGGTGGTCACTCCCCCGGACACGGCCAGTCTGCAGCAGCTTCCCGAGTTGTCACAGTGAGACGAGACCGTGCACATCAGGGAGCTGCACTCGTGTAAGCAGGACAGCGCCCTCTGAGCTGCCCGCTTCCTTTCCCTCCCACGCAGATCACGGCACAGGGCAGAGGAGGAGGTAACAGGGACCCCCTTCCTGGACGATGAATGAACCCAAACCGAGGGGGGAAACTAGAAATCGTATCTTACCTCCTTTTCCATAAAGTCAAACTCCGCAGCACAGGTATACAATAAAGTATCAAAATCCTTGTAACTGAAGAATTTTGACGTTAGTAAGTTGCCAATATGAGCCTAGTGAGGAACAAAATGAGGTGCCATTAGACTATGCCACACACTGCGCTAGTTCACCGTCACCTGAACAGCACCTGAGAGCAGTCGTCACTGTCCCCACACAGGGAGCGCCGCGGAACGACGAAGCGCTGCACCCCCTTCATGGCCCTCTCTGCCTTTGCTGACACACGGCAGCACCCACAACACCAGGCTTCCCAGACCGATCGTCAGCAAACCACGTCTTCCATCCCGGTTCTCCTGCTCAGAGTGCTAGCCCTGGTGCACCCACCACAGAGCCCCCCTCTGCTGGAGCCCACCGGGACGCGGGGCCGTGAACACACACCTTATCACTCATAAAGGACAAAGTGCGACAATCAAGACAAGGAAGCGCTCATTCCGGTTTCTGAATAGGGACTGAAGACTTTCCGCAAGAAGTGGAAGACGGCAGGGCTTGGAACAGGACGCACTTCGCAATCAACAACCGGCCTCTATAATCTTTACTCGTCACCACGAGCTCCTGCTCACACTACCTCATCTCCACAAAAGCCATGTGAGAAAGGTAGTTACTTTCATATAAATGAGACATGTGCAAACTTTTAATCCATTATTGTCTAAAAAAGCAAGAACCAAAGCAAAGGGAGAAATGACATCTTTACACAAACCAGAACTAAAATCCCAGATGGTACCTAGATGACACGGATCAGGGAAGAGGAGGAACTGAAGGGTGATGGGGACATGCTGAAGAATTCAAAACACTTTCTTTTGCTGGAGAAGAAATGGATGCTAATAAGTTTAAGAAATCAATAGGGAGAATGAATAGCACCTAACATAGCATAAGAAAACTATCTGTCCAATGAAAAGGAGACAAAAAATCTAAAAAGCAAGAAAAATGTTTGGAAGTCTCAATGAAAGGAGCAGCCCCAATATAATGATAACTGTCTGCCACATAAGTAAAGAGCTTAACTTTACTAATTAAAGAACAGATGCTCCAACTGGATTTAAGAGGAAAAAATTCAGTGTGATATTGTCTATAAAAGGCACACTTAAAACCAAAGTATGCAGGGAGGTTGAAACAGAAGAAGAGAACAAGACATACCACAGAGACTGAGCCAAAGAAACCCAGGTTAGCAATTGTACTGTCTCAGGAAACTGCGTTCAAGCAAGACCGTACGAGGGAGACAAGGATATTAGACGCTGGTACAACGAACAGCAAAGCACGATGACAGCAATCATGAAACAATCACAGTTGACAGTATAGATTCAACTTGTAGAAAAGAAAAGAGCCTAAAAGCTCTAGAAGTAATAGATAAGGGGACATTGTTCAATAGAAATGTTAAATATTTCCCTCTAAAATAAAAAAGCACATAAACGTTAATATAAAATCTGAATAATATTGCTAGTAAGCTCAGAGGCACAGAATACCAACTTCACAAGAGAAAATACACATTATCCTCAAACAAAAGTAAAATGTTTTTTTAAAAAATGTTCACATGCTAGGCCACAATGAAGTTCAGTTATATAATACTAAGTGTATTTTTCTAACAATAAATGGAATAAAATTGGAAAATGATAACTAGAAAGAGCTTTAAACATCCTTTTGGCTAGAAATGAGATAACATCAAACTTAACCTTAAGGTTAAAGAAGAATCATAAAATAGTTTCTTTGCAAGAGACACAGAAAAGAACTGCTTACATGGAAATTTATAGCTCACAGGCATTAACGGAAAATGACAGGCTGGGAAGAAAAGAGCCACACACTTTCCAGGAAGCGTCAGAAAAGCCCAGAACAAGCCAAAGGAAGGAGAAGGGAATGAGGGCGAGAGACCTGGCGACAGAGAAACACTGCAGCCCACGGAGGAATAACGAGGTGGGGCTTTGAAAACATTCATATATAATATGAGCTCCAAATCTAAATAAGAAAAATTAAATAAAAAACATAAAAGACCAGTTCACACATGTGCAGAAATTTTAACCTGCATCAATACCTTCACTGGCTCGTCTTTCCCAGTGAGGGGACAGATCCCATAAACCTAGGACAGGGCTCGGTACCTTTCTTCCCACACACTGTGCACACCCTGGGGATGCAGCGCCTCAGCTCTCCCCCCCAGCTGACTCCTGCCGCCTCCGACCCTGTGCCCCTGGGCCCCCACCTCGTGTCGCTGGGCTCCCCTGACCCTGTGCCCCTGGGGCCCCACCCTGTGCCCCTGGGCTCCTCCGACCCCGTGCCCCTGGGCCCCCCACCCGTGCCCCTGGGCTTCCCCGACCCCGTGCCCCTGGGCCCCCAAATTCCATGCCCCTGGGCCCCCCCATACCGTGCCCCTGGGCTCCCCCAACCCCGTGCCCCTGGGCCCCCAAACTCTGTGCCCCTGTGTGCCCCCATCCCGTGCCCCTGTCCCTGACCCCATGTCCCTCGGTACCCCCCCAACCCTGTGCCCCTGGGCTCCCCTCCCCCATCCCGTGCCCCTGTCCCTGACCCCATGTCCCTGGGCACCCCGGACCCCATGCCCCTCGGTACCCACCCACCCTGTGCCCCTGGAATCCCCTCCCCCACCCCATGCCCCTGCAGCAGGCAGCGCTCAGAGTCTACAGGCATCAGAGTTGCGAGGACCTGTTCCTCTCTCCCCCAGACCAGCCACATAGCAGGTGCATACTGAATGAACAAACACATTTGAGACCAGTTTTAAACTTTTAAGAATCTTTCCAGAGGTTCTAGACCACCCACTGATAGCCTAGTTGTTCAATAGTTTTTTCAGCAAAAAATTCCCTTGTTCATACGAAAACCTGAACACATGTCCAGTGGATAAGAGATGGAAGCTAGGCTGCCCCGTGAACAGGGGCGGGCAGGGCTCTGGGAAGGAATGGGCCCCACGGAAGAGTCCCCAGAGTCCCAGGACTCTACAGAACCCGTTCCACAATCATGGCTTTAATTTGCTACAGGACAAAGGACAGCCAATTACAATAAATTACAGAAGAAAATACATGGTTTACTTTACTCTTTCTATGTTGGTTCTTGTGTTAATTTCTTTTTAAATTTAATTAACATGCTGACTAAACAACAAAGTAAAATTACAGTAGAGAGGGTCCTTAATGTTATAAAGCAAAATTCTTCTTTTATTTTTTCTCCTACCCAAATACCAAAACAAAACAGAACAAACAACTATAACAAAACTTTCTCTTAATAAAACTAACTTGGAAGAAATCACATATAAAGGCTCATAGATAAACTTTTCACAAGCACTGACCAGAACACCGAGGGGAAAAAAAGAAAAAGACTATATATCATGATCAACAATTTAAGAGGCTTAGAAGACAGCATCTTTATCTGTGACAATAGTGGATTCTAAAGAAACCAGCGAAAAGGAACGGCACAGACCTTAAAATAGGAGCTTAAGTCTCTAGAGCAGCGGTTCTCAACCTTCCTAATGCTGACCCTTTAGTACAGTTCCTCGTGTGGTCTGTGCGCGTATCTGCATGTGGGCGGACCCGCCTGGAGACGGATACAGGAGCGGTGTCTCGGTTCCTAGGACCGTCAGAAATATGTGTTTTCCGATGGTCATAGGTGACCCCTGTGAAAGGGTCATTCGACCCCCAAATGGATCGTGACCCACAGGTTGAGAACCACTAGCGGCTCTAGAGCTTTCTTGCTTTAAAATTTTATAATCTTTGTGATACAGAAAGACCATTACAATAACTGTATCAAGAAATTAATTTTGGAGAATACAGACTATATGCATAGTCATATTTAGCTTCTACTATAATAAACAGATAAAATAAAGATGAACAGACTTCATCTTGGAATTTGGCTTAAATGGTAGCATTTTAACAACCTGAGTAATTTGTTTTTATCCTGTTTGATTCTTTTCAAGTTTTGCAAGTTTAAGCAAAAATGTACTTACATCATCTGCAATGCCAAAGATTTTAGATGTCAAATACTTTAGTATGACAGTTCCAAATAACCAAAAACATCCTTGGATGACCTACAAAAGAAAAATATAACAAAACAAAAATAAACTGATGGTTTATACAGCCATTTCATAGACACAGTCTAGGAAGAAAAAATGCTTTAATCACGTGTCAAATAAATATCTCCACATCCAAGAGCAAATGCTTTTTAAGAATGCATCTTAAATTGCCCTGGCCAGTTTGGCTCAGCAGTTAGAGTGTCAGCCCGCTGACCAGAGAGTCCCGGGTTTGGTTCCCACTAAGGGCACGTGCCTCGATTGTGGTTTGTTCCCAGCCCCGGTTGGGGTCGTGCGGGTGGCAACCAGTCCATGTGCCTCTCTCACATCGATGTCTTTTTCTCTCTCTTCCTCCCTCTCTATCTGAAAATAAATGCAAAAAAAATGTCCTTGGGTGAGGATAAAAAAAAAATGCATCTTAAATTAAAATAATGTTACTTCAAAATCAAGGGGCTATCACTAAAAATAAAAATATAAATGTACAATCATATTATAAAAATTAATGTACTGTAAAGATCTATACAGCAATGCAGTTCAAGTCCCCTTCTACTAACAGTTTATTATACATGCGCCACTCCTTAGGAAAAAACATGGGTAATAAAAATAACTGAAATTTTTTAACTACTAATCTTAACTGGTCATGAAGAAGGCAATTTGGCACAATGAAATTGAGCCCCAAGAACTGTTAGATCCCCTGCATTGCATACATCATTTCCTTAAAAGTAAAACATAAAACCAATGACATACTTTGGAGAGGGAAAACCTATGCATGCAAACAGATTGATTCTTACCCATAAACTAAGTTCAGACACATTTATTTTCAGGAAATGTGGTTTCAATGCCAGTGCACCCTGCACAGAGAAAATAACACGCATACAGTTAATACCTTTAAATTCAAGCACCAGAAGGTACTTGTAACAGCAGGACTCTCGAGGGTCTAAGACCCAGCACCATGCTGATGCCCCACAGGGCACCACAAGCTCACTGCTTCCAGAACCAGCCCTATCTTACCGAAGGAGGTCGGCTAGCGCCTTCGTCAAGGTGCAAACAGTATCACCACATACTAATTTGTATGAGTGATTTTACATCTCGGATTTACCTCAGAATCAAGAAGTATAAAATAAATTCAGAATTTTAGACAGATGTCACAGTCCTAAGATTCTCTTAAGTTAAATATTGTTAACTCTTAGGATAAACGACAAATGAGTTTTTAATGGATCAACTAAATATTTCCCTATCAAATCTTATGTCTTTCCCAGTACATACTAGACTCCAAAAATGCAATACCTATAGGGAACTAATGCTACTTCAAACTCGGCAAAAATATAGTTAAAGATCAAAACATAAATATGTGAAGCCAAATTAAATCTTTTCAGAAGTTTCTGAATATCTGCAAACACAAACTGTGTTAAGATTCAGGTTTCAAAGTGATAACTATAAATAAAAATAGGCAAATGTTTGTTTATGGTTAAATATGCAAAAACATAGCTATATTCTGTAACTGTTGGCATCATTTATTTTTATACAACAAAAATATATGCGAGAAAAACATGTACACACATGAACACGCACCATCCATGCCTATGGCACACAGTGCCGAGCACCCGGGGGAGCCTGACCCAGGTGCGCACTGAACGAAGAGTCCCTGCCAGATGGACTCGGACCGGATGGTGCTGAGATGTGATCCACTCAGCGGCTTCCCTGGACACAAGGCCCAAGAGTCACGTACTTTAACCTGAGCAGTAACAGGACCCGCCCGAGCACATAGTAAAACAGAGAACTGAGTGCATTTACGCATTTCCTAATTACAAACAGAACTCACTAACTGTAAGAACTATCGTTCATCTCAAAGTACAGCAACTCAGTTAATGAGTTTTTTTGTCCTTGTTGGAAACACAGCCTCGCCGCATGCTAACTGCTCATTTCTGTCACTGAGTATACTCGAGTCACACGACCTGAAAAGGGTGGAGGTCCAGGCTGGGAAGAAGCAGATCCTTGCGAAGTAAGATCTTAAATAAATGTTACTTATAAAGTGGGACAAAGAAATTGGAGGTTCCGCATTTGCTAGCAGGTTCTGGAATTCTAGAAAGCCAAATGATCTGAGTAACTTCAATGATTATTCAGGGAGTAGAACACATGTCTACTAGGACAGTACAAGGTGCTCTGGTCTCCCAGAAACCGACCCAGACTACACAGAGGAATAAGTTCTTTCTTCTTAAGGTTGAAAACACGGTAATGGCGAAACCCACTGACAAAAAAGGCATAACCACCTCTGAAGTCCTTAAATTCAGGAACATTTATATTTAGAAAGTCGTCCTACTGAAGTGTCAAAGGAGCTGGGGGTGCTTCAACTGTGTGCTCTGCTTCTGTACCCCGGTCTCCTGATCATCGAATTCCTTAGTGAGTTAGCAACTATAACTGAGTCACGCCCTGACTGAGACTAGCTGAATATTTCATACAAATAAACACGGGGGGGGGGGGACCCTAACAAACCAAGACCCCCGACCGTGGGCTTGAGGAGAGACTGTGGGGAGATGCCACCGGGGGAAAGGGGATGAGAGGTGGAGCAAGAACTGGGGAACAACGAAAGAGAGGAAGGGACAAAGGGAAACAGAAGAAGGCACAGGAACTTCTAAAAGTAGCCCTGGGACCAACACGTAGGTGACAGCAAAGATGAGGAGGGCGATTAGACGATGAGGCAAGGGCTCCGCTTTCCAGCATTCACCTGTGCTGGGTTTGTGCCGTTCTGGAAGCCAGTACTCGGACCTTCTACGGCACACAGGTGCGTTCAGGGAAACACGGAGATGCTTCTCACAGAAAATCCCTCACACAAAGAAACCAATAAACCATTCATTTTACAAACAGCCATGTACTTAAAGAACACTTACCCAAATAATCACCAAAGAGGAAGCATAATAAGAAGTTAATAACATTGAGTTTCCAAACATCAAAACAAAACAAAGTGCAAGAGAAATCTGGAAAAATCCAAGAAAAATATAATTAATGCACATAAAACAAAAAAGTTGATTATTATTCCGGAAACTGCACATGCCTATAATAACCCAAATTCACACTGTTCAAAAGGGAAGACACAATAACAACAGCCCAGTTCCTCTCCCACACTTCGGAACCCAAAAGACCAACTATCGACAGTTTCCCACGTACCCTTCCAGACACTCCCGTGTACAAATTCTAGTTTTTATTTTTTAAAAACCACAAATGGAAACTTAACCCATAAGCTATGCTACTGCTTGCCTTTACTCTTAATTTGTTCCGGAGGCTTCCATGTCAACCCAAGCCAATCTGGTTCACCTGCGGGGCAGATGGACCGCATTCCACTACAGAACTGCGCCATCATTTCATTAACCAGCCCTCGGACTATGCTGACCACTGCAGAGCTTCCCAGATGTGCTGTTATTTTTCTTTTTTCTATCGCAAACCATGCTATGATAAACATCCTTCTATGTGCACCTTACATACATGTCAACACATTCATGGGATAAGCTACTGGAAGTAAAATTGATCAATTAAACATACACACATTTTAAATTCTGAAAAAATATTGACAAACTGCCATGCAAAACATTGTACCAATTTAGTCTCCCACCAACAGGCTGACCCACATTCCTGCCAACACTAGTATCCTTTTCAGTGTTTGCCAATCTAACACAAGGAAAACGCTGCCTCATTGTTTCACTTTTCTATTCTTTCAATGAGTGAGACAGCATCTTTACTCCTTGTTGTTGTTTATGTTGTTGTTATTGTGTTGTGTGCGTGTAAGAACCGCCTATTCCTACTGCCCATTTTTCTATTGGGTTTTGGTTATTTTCCCCAAAAGCTCCCTTTATAGAACATAGCTTCTTACCAAGCAAACACTAAATATTTTTATATACATGGATATTGAAAAAATGTTACATATATGTGTCTATATGGATATATGAATATATATAGATGACTATTATTCAGCCATAAAAAAGAAGGAAATTCTGCCATTCGCATGAACATGAATGGACCCTGAGAACATTTTGCTGAGTGGAAAAACCCATTCAGGAGAAGACAGCTGGTGCATGATTTCACTTATACGAGGTACCAGAGTTGCTAAAAGCACAGACATAGAAAGCAGAAGCGGGGCTCCAGGGGTTGGGTGGAGGAAGGGGAATAGAGGATCACTGTTTAATGGGACAGAGTTTCAATTCCACAGATGAAGAGCTCAGGACATAGGTGGTGGTGAGGCTGCTGAATACCCGAGTCAGGATGTACTTCATACCACTGATACGTACACTTAAAAAGATTAAGATGGTACATTTTGTTTGTAGTTTACCACAATAAAAAAGTGGGGGGACATCCCTTTTGGAGACAGTTCTATATATTTTTTACTTGTACACAACTATAGAAATTTGTCAAGTGACAGAGGAAGATGTTCCATAGTTAGTGAGTCACACCACAACACATAAATCATCCACCCAACACAGGCTCCACAGCACGAAAACCTGGGTCACGGAGTGCTCCTGTGACTGTAACTGGGTCAAAGTCCTCGGCCACAGCTGCCTATGGGACTGTGTGACTGATGGAGTCAAATGCACTGAGATCTTACTGCAATGTTAAAAAACAATAAAGGGACTCTATTAAATAGTTTGGGGGGAAAGTAAGCCAAGTGTAAAAAAATAATTACTGTCCAATTCCATTCATGAGCAGATATTTTATTTTATTTTATTTTATTTATTTATTTTATCCTCACCTGAGGACACTTTTCCATTTTTTTGTTCAGATAGAGTGGGAGGGAGAGAGATGAAGAGAGAGAAACATCAACGTGAAAGGGATACATCGAGTGGCTGCCACCCGCACAACCCAACCAGGGCCAGGGACAAACTGCAACCGAGGTACGTGCCCTTAGCGGGAACCGAACCCGGGTCTCTCCAGACCGTAGGCCGATGCTTTAACTGCTGAGCCAAACCAGCCAGGGCATGAGCAGATATTTTAAAATCCTAATAAAATATTAGCAAAGTGAATCCAGCAATGTGTAAAAGTTGTGTTTAGGAGAAAAGTGAGGTTTTTTAATATAGAAAAATCAATTAATATAATTCATCACTGCAACATATTAAAGAGGGAAAAATACACGGGATCATCTAGAAAGATGCAGAAAAAGCCCTTGATGAAGTTCGGCCTTTATTAATTTCTTTTAAAAAGTGCCGATGCATGATGAGGACTCGTTAAAAGGGTAAAAGAAGCCAGTCTGAAATTGGCCCAACAGGGAACAATTCAAGCATCAAAATAAAAAATAAAAACAGTGGATTATACTGCACTGAATAAAACAGATGCCATTCCCTTAGACACAAGAGAAAAATGGGTAAAGATATGAGCAGGAATGTCACAAAAGCAGGAAGCATAGAGGGTCCACTCCACACACATACCGACAGATGGTCAGCTTCACTGAATGAGAAAATACAAAGTAAGGCCCTAAGATACCATTTTATATTTACCAGATGGGCAAAATGTAAAAGGATATACAAAAACATGAACTGTTATATATTACTGTTGGCCAGTCTTACTGCTTTTGAAGACAATGTAGTATTAAATTATGAAGTTGAACATGTATGTAATTGACCACCCAGAGATTCTGCTACTACATAGATGCCCTAGAGAAACTTAACATGCACCCAGGAGGTATGTGTAAAAATGTATACAGCATTATTCATAAAATAAAAAGAAGGAAAAAAACCTGTCTTTCAATAAGAAAATGGATAAATAAATTGTGCTTTATTTATACAATGGAAAATATAAAGCAAAAAGTATGAACACCAGTAACATACGAATCTCAGAAACCTGAATAAAACTGTTAAGTCTTATAAAAGCATACCATTTTTACAAACCTTAAAAACAGTACTAATATTTAGTAAAACACATACAGAGTGAGGCAAAAGTAGGTTTCCAGCTGTGCATATGGAAAAAATACAATAATTAATAATAATACAAGAATAAACTCTGTTTCGCGTACTCACAACCGTAAGCCTACTCTTGCCCACTCTGTGTACTGTTTAGGAATATGCATGTGTGGCAAAATCACAAAGAAAAGCAGGTCAGTTATACTTGAACACGTCAGGACAGTGGTTATCTCTGGAAGGAGTGACAAGGACGTGTTCAGGGCACACAAGGGCTTCTAAGTAATGATGCGTCTAGTTTTCAGTTGGAACGTAAGCTCATGGTTGTTCATTTCATAACATTGTTCATAACTTCCCTGGATATTATAATTTTATATGTATCAATTATTAGAGAATAAAAATAATAGCATATTATAAACATTGAAATTATAAGAAAAAAAATCAAAATTTTAAGAACTAATGACAAAAAGAAAACAAATGTTTTTTAAAAAATAAACACTCATCAAAGTCACCCATCCAGCCTGGCCAGTGTGGCTCAGTGGATTAAGTATCCTCCCATAGACTGAGAGGTCCTGGTTCGATTCCCAGTCAGGGCACATGCCCAGGTTGCAGGCTCGATCCCCAGTAGGGGGCGTGCAGGAGGCAGCCAATGGATGTTTCTCACATTGATGTTTCTATCTCTCTTTCCCTTCCTTTATCTCTAAAAAATCAATAAAAACATTTTTTAAAATCACCCATCCAGGCTCAGTGCATTTGCTCCAGTGGCTTTACCAACCCAGAATATTCCTCTCATGGTATCTACTTAGCAAACTGCCTCTCCCCTCCCTCCAATCTCTGCTCAGTACGGCTCCCTGGCCACCTCACCGATGCCACACTCCTCGTCTCCTGGTCTCCGGGGGCCACGACTTTCCTCCCCTTCTCTCCACAGTCCTGTCCCTTCTAACATCCTGCAAACTGACCCTTCTGCTGCATTTATTACTGGTCCTCTGTCTCCTCTCCTTCCCCACTCTACCAGAAAGTAGTCAGCACGCACCCTGGGACTGGGGCCCGCTCACCGCACGGCCCGCCGGGCAGTCGGCTCAGCCCATGAGCACCCCTAACATGCTGACAGAAGGCCCCGGGCAACACAGCGCACCAATGCTCTTCTAGAGGACACGGAAGTCAGGCAGAGCCCCACATTAGATGACGTGACCCAAATTAAAACTCTTGGGTGGCCTATTTAAAATAGGTCTGTTAACTCTATCTTTTTGAATGACACTTGTTTTAGTCATGGAATCATGCAACAAACAGTTTCAACCATAAACAAATCAAATACTAATGAGGAGTCTGTTTTAAGGTCAAACTCAAAGGGAAAAAAAGCAAATTGAAAAACCATTACCATGTGTATATAAATGATCTTCCGTAATTTGCATATGTCAATGTATCCCACAACATATACTGTGAATAATGATGCAATCTGAAATGAAAAAGAATGTTAAAGATAAAAATATACACACAATGAATAGCTATAAGAATAAAAACAAGGTTATTTTTATTGTTGTTCCAAATTGATTTAAATTTATTTTGAAATTGAGTTCTTCAGTTTCCCTCTTACCTACCAATTTATTATTGGATAAGGTCAATATAGTAATGTAGCAAATATTGGTTGGTTTTTTCCCTCTCTGTACAAAGCTCCCTCAATTAACCATTCAAATGATCTACTTTGTGGATTATCCAAAACAATACTCATTCTAATGTCAGGGTGACTCTACTCTCAACAGGTACAGTTACAAAGTGCCTTGCCCAATAAAAAAATATGAAAATTTAATTATAACAAGACAATTAGTAGATAACAGAAGAAGGTGCATTAAACTAAAAAATAATTACAAAATGCATGTGTGTATACAGTACATTAAGTTCTGCTTGCTGGTCACACTTTACAAGTATCTCTATCAGTGTTCTCTTTCACAAATATTCAAGTGCTAGTTATTATCAAATCTGTCAAATTTCACATTACAAGTACTTTCACCACAAAGGTATTTTTAAGTTTATAGTTTTGAAGAAAACTGTGTGTGTACTGATCAGGAATTCTGAGAGCACGGGGTTATTTAGGTGAACTGACTGAATGACGAAAGGTGCCTCTGGTGCAACACCGAGGTTCTGTGCCAGCCCAGGCCCCCCACCTTCTCCCCGGAGAAACAAAGTCGGGCTGAATCCCATGCTCATCCCGCTACGCGAACAGCGTGAAAACCCTGCAAACGGCTAAGTACTCAAACATATGGTGTAAGTTCCACCCATCAAGTGGTTTATCTCCAAACAACTGACAACACATTTCCCACGAGCAAGACAACCACAGTGTCCTCACCCAGGCTCGTCCCCCTGCCCTGCGCTGCGTGATGACAGGACACGGTAACGGGACACGTGTGCTGTCATTCAACAGAAACCCCGCAGAGAAACACACCAGCTCCTCCCCTCACTCCATGAAACCCCCACTGACTCCCCTCCCCAAAAAGCAGGCATCTCCCCTACCTAGAAGCAATGGGAACTCTCCCTCTCCACCCCAGGGTCTAAGCAACACACAGCGACCCACGGGCAGAATCTGAAGGAGTGACCCTCAGGGATGTTTTAAACCAGAAACATTTAAAATGTCATCACATGAAGGAAGACAAAGGAGTCTAAGAGATAAAACCAAAGCGAGAATCAACTACAAGCAGAGCCCTTTATAGAAACTGACGATAAAAGCAGCTCACCTACTGCCATCCTGCAGAAGTACGAGGTAACATGGTGACAATCTTACTCACTGCCTCATCTGATCCCAACCACAACCCAAGAAGTAGGCTCTCAGTGCCTCTACCTGACAGATGAGGAAACCGAAGCGAAGAAAAGGTAAGCAGTTTGTCCAGGTTGAGAAGCTAGTGAATAGACTTAGGGCTCAAATCCAGGTCTGACTTCCTTTCTCAAGCGAGAAATGTCCAAGAACGTTACAAAACCACTCTCGCCCTGGCTGGTTTGGCTCAGCAGTTAGAGCATCAGCCCACAGGCCAATGAGTAGCGGGTTCGATTCTGGTCAAGGGTACGTACCTCAGTTGCACTTCAGTCCCCGGCCCTGGTCGGGTCGTGTGGGAGGCGACCAGCCGATGGGTCTCTCTCACCTCGATGTTTCTCTCTCTCTCTTCCTCCCTCTCCCTTTCACTCTATCTGAAGATAAATGCAAAAATGCCCTCAGGTGAGAATAAAAAACAAAGGGTTAACTAACAGACATTTTAGGGCTTAGAGTCACGTAACATCTCAGTTCTGTAGTTGCGTACAACTGCGTCCGCGGGACGACACACTGAGCGCGCTCGGAGCAGCAGCGCAGCACTTACCTGCGTGAGCAGCGCGAACTGCGCGAACTGCCAGGGGAGCATGAAGAACACGTTGGAGATGCAGAGCGCGGTCAGGCTCCCCCTGCAGAGCCTCGTGGCCCTGGAACGGAAGGCGAGACCGGCGCGTTAACCACAGTCCCCAGCGTGGCTCCCGGCGGCTGCAAATCCCCACCTCCAAACCTGAGCTGGCTATAACACAAACTGGACAAAACGAACCAATGGCTTAAAAATATACCTCCCGACACTCAATTACAGTAACTTTCTGTGAAAAGTAAATGCCCATTATTACTGTGAAAACAAAGTCTGCCGAAGGGAGAGGCCCCTGGGCCGGCATGTCCACTAAGTTTTCTGACTCTACTTGCAAATTCGTAATCACACACATGGGGCTCCCCTCGGAGACGCATTAGGAGAGACGAGGACACTGCAAAGGTCCCGGGGCCCGGGATTCTGCACATGGGCCCCGGGAGCGCAGGCTGAGGGGACATGGGAAGCGGGGCCTGCACAGGAGGACACAGACGAGCAGAGGACGCCAAGGGGGGGCTGCTCCGAAGCCACCCGTAGACACCTCCCTTTGGTCCTCCTCGTAACAGGGTTTTTTAGGAGAGTGAGGTGTTTGGATCACTCATGTTAGGTTTAAGAACCACTACCCCCTAAATCAATGAGCCAATGCAAGGGCCCCTCATACCTAACCTCCTCCCAAAGACAACCAAGGACAAGTCAAAGTCACCTGAGAATGTGAGTCACGAGCAACATCTGCAGCGCGAGGAAGGGGTACGAGAAGCTCTCGCGGAGGGGCGGCGTCCACATCACCCGGGTGCACTGAAAAACCGTAGCGCAAAATACGTCTGCTAACCTGGTGAGGACAGGCCACCGAAAGCCGCGGCTTCTAACGTAACCCAAGTGGTGTGTTGTCAAACAAGCTACTAAATTCCCAGCAACAGCAAAACTAGGAAGTGAGAAACGTTGCTGAGTGGGAGGCACACTGCACACATCCCGTGAAGTATTAACATCGTACTGTCAACAGCACAGTACCAAAATCCTTCGATGCAGCCTAAAAGGGAGGTGGAGAAAGTGGCAGCCAGGAAATGGTCTGCCAGAAGGAAAAACATCGCATCTGAATGGGCTGTGCAAACTGACTGGTTTGTCTTCTCTCTGAATTTCAGCAGGAGATCTGTACCTGAGACTCCCAAACTCTTCACAGTCATCAGTGTCAGTGTTCGTACCCCCAGTGCTGCTGAGCAGGAGCACTCCATTTCTGTTTTTACTTCTTCTTTGCCCAAACTACCTTGGGCTGCAAAATGTTTAAAAATGGCAGAGAGGATCAAATAACAAAAGTCCTGAAATAGTGAAGTAGAAACCTTTCTAAAGAGCTTACTTTAAACTTAATTACATAGTGTATTCTCCCAGCTGTTAAACTCATTTTCCTGCGTGTATATTAAATATATTAACAAGGCCATCTTTCAACCTTATAAACTGCATTGGATTAAATGCAAACAATCTTACATTAATTACTACCACTGAGCTAGTCACACCAGAAGACATCATTACATCTTTCAAGTCCAGCAGGCTCCTTTAAAGACTAGAAAGCATTACAGGCAAGAGGTGAATACTAATCAATGGTGTTAAATCCACAGATAATATAAATGGAATTATCAGGCAAGGCTAAGATTAATTGGTACAGAAAAAGCTGGATAGAATGGGTAAATGGGTGGGAATTCTCAACAGAGAAATGGAAGATCTAAAAGAATAAAATTGAAATTGATAATATCTAAAGTGAAAATTCACTGGATGTGCTGAATAACAGACTAAATGTATCAGAATAAAGTATCTGTGAACTTGGGGGTATGGCAAAAGAAAATTTCTAAACAGAGGCAAAGAAAGAAAGAAAATGAAGAACCCCAGAGGAAGAGAGTGTAATAACCCTGTGGGACACCATCAAAAGTTAAACATACCTGGAACTGGAAAACTCAAGGAAGGTAAGAGAGAACGGAAAAGCAAAATATTTGAAGAAAAGATACTACTAAAAATTTTCCAAAACTGATTAAAACAAAACCAGAACAAAGATGTTCAGTGAGTCTTCAGCAGGATATAGACAAAGAAAACCACATCTAAGTCCATCACCATCAAACCAATAAAAATCAAATATACAAAGAAAGTCTTCAAGCCTCCGCAGAAGCCACAGGTAATGTTCAGGTAACAATAAGAATGGGAGGAGACTTTTTATCAAACAATGGAAGCCATAAGACAACAGAATGCCATAAAGTGCTGAAAGATAAAGCTATCCACCCAGAATTCGTATTGGCAAAAATACAATTCAAATAATGAAGGCAAAATGAAGGGCATTTTGAGAATTTGTTGGCAACAGATCTTTATCACAATGTTAAATAAAGTTCTTAAGAGTGAAGAGAAATTATACAGATGGAAACCCAGATCTGCAGGAAGACATGAAGGATACCAGTAAAACCCAAACTGAAATGCCCAGTTGTCAAGGATGACAAGGCGTTAATTAGACACTGGCTAGGGGACAACAGGGGAGAGAAGTATGCAGGGCATAGGAAACAGCATGTGCAAAGGCCCTGAGAAAGGAAAAGGAATGGTCCTTCCGGGAACAAGAGAAGGAAGGACCGTAGGACTGACGCAAAGAAGACAGCCCGCAGGATAGTAAGACCCAGCAGGGACAGGTCAGGAAGGAGGACACTATAGGCTACCTTTCTAATCTCCAACCACAGACTCATTCCCAACAAAGATTAGCCCACTCTTTTTTTTTTGGGGGGGGGGGACTTTTGGAAAGAATGCAAGTTTAATGCCAATTTACAAATCCACAGGCACACCACTCAATAGCCTGAATAAATAATACATTTTGCACTTTTTTCCAAATTGATGTAAAAAGTATTTAAATCATATTACCCTTCTGCATGTAACCCTCCAGTGGCCTTTCCATCTGCTCCAAACGAACCTCACAATGAACCAACCAGGACTACAGATCGGCTCCCTCCGCATCCCAGCTCCTGTTAACTGTCTGGCTTTATTCCTTCCACTCTGCTCCTGTCTCAACAGCCTCCCTGCTACTCCCCAAGTAAACTGGCACTCCCCACCTTACGTAGAAGATTGTCCCTCCTTCACACATTTATCCACAAGGACGAGAATCTTTGTTTTACCCTTGGACACACGCCCAGCATCTATCAGCACCTGGCACACAGCAGGCTCTTCCTATGAGCTGTTTTAATTGAGTTGAATAAACAGAAGACCCTGAATAAGGTCCTGGCCAAAACCTCACCATCACTAGAAAGAGACGGGAGAGGGGAGGGAAGTAGGGAGGGAGGAAGAAAGAAAAAGAGAGAGAGAAAAAAGGAGAAAAAGAAAAATCTCACAAATTGGCAACCAAAGATCTCTGGAATTAAAGATAAATGGTGGTGGTGTCGTTGGAATTCGATTCCCCACCTAAGAGTCGCACGTGTTCAGAGAAGTTCGGAGAGATTACTGATCAGCTGGAAACGTTAACATCCTCTCCTGCTTAGCAGCCTTAAACTAAACACTTACTCTTTAGTGCTTCTACTTTAGTGAATATCAGAATATTATAATTTACTACTTATCTGCATATAAGAATAAGGACTAATAAAACTGTTTTTTTTCAAAGTGTTCCGAGAATTTCTTTCCAAAACTTATATAAATAACATAACTATGTCAATAAGTTATTAGGTCAACCAACAACAAGTGCTGGCGAGGGTGTGGAGAAAAGGGAACCCTAGCACCCTGCTAGTAGGAATGCAGACTGGTGCAGCCACTGTGGAAAACAGTGTGGAGTTTCCTTAAAAAATTACAAATAGAACTGCCATTTGATCTAGTGATCCCACTTCTAGGAATATATCCTAAGAAGCCTGAAACACCAATCAGAAAGAATATATGTACCCCCATGTTCATAGCAGCACTATTTACAATAGCTAAGATCTGGAAACAGCCCAAGTGTCCATCAGTAGACGAATGTATAAAAAAGCTGTGGTACATATACACAATGGAGTACTATGCAGCTGTAAGAAAGAAAGATCTCTTACCCTTTGAGACAATGTGGAGGGACCTGGAGAGCATTTTGCTAAGTGAAATAAGCCAGTCAGAGAAAGACAAGTATCACATGATCTCACTTATTTGTGGAATATAATGAACAAAACAAGGTGATGAGCAAAACAGACCCAGAGGCATAGAAATAGGGTACAGACTGACCAACTTCAGAGGAGGGGTTAGGGGAAGGGAAGAGATAAACCAAAGAAGTTATGCATATAAATATATCCAATGGACATAGACTACAATGCTGGGAGGGGGGGCAGGAATGGGAGGAGGTATCAATGTGGGAAAAAGAAGAAACGTCTGTAACAAAAGTAAATAAATTAAAATAAAAGTAAATAAATAACTGGGTTATATATGCATATATGCATCGCCCACGGACACAGACAGTAAGTAAGGCGGTGAGGGCCTGGGGTGGGCGGAAGCGGAGTGTGGGGGCCAGTGGGGAAACTAAGGGGGGACCTCTGCAATACACTTGACAACAAAGAAAAATAATGAAAAAATAATTAATACATAAATAAGTGGGTTAATCCTTTTATATTATACATTTTGTAGTCCTTTTGTTCAGGCAAAAATTTTCCCTCGTAAAATCATCTGAGAAAGAGTTGTTGTTGTTGTTTTTAATAGAGTGGAAGGGAGAGAGGGAGGGAGGGAGAGAGCAAAACTTCCATTTATGCTCTCAATTTTAATATATGCCATTACTCAAAAATAGTCCTTTTCTACTCTAAGCTACACTTTAGATACAAGTACAATGAACTTCTTGACTATTTCAGTAAAACCACAATGCTAATCACACTGGCCACCTCCTCCTAAGTAGAAAGTGGTAACTAAGTAGTCTACGTAAATACACCAAGTAGCTGAAAAAAATATTTTTTTAAAATCTCAACCTGAAAAATGAACGGAATAGTCTGAATTTCATTGTTAAAAACTAAAAAGACTATGTAAGGAATGACAGTCATGCTCCGTGAATATCAAAATTATATTAAAAAAAAGTTAAGATCAGGAATTAACTTCTAACACGAAGGGTAACACAGTAGACCTTTCTGCTGAACAGACAGCAGTTTTTAGAACTGCATTTTGGCTTCAAACTTTTTAATTTTTATTGACTTTATTGGGGTGACGCTGTTTATAAAAGTACAGTTTCCTGTAATCCCTTCCCTCCAGCGTCTTGTGAACCCCACGCTCCTGTCTTCCACTCGGCGCTGTTTCCTGCTTCTTCACTCTCACAAAATGTGTGCGTCACGGTTCTCAGTCCACCTGTGACACTGGGCAGCACCCACGGTCAAAAATAGCCAAATGATTCCTTTTCGTAGCTCAAAACTCAGACCAAACCAATTGATGTTATATTGCAATCATTTGTCAAATGCTCTATTCTATAAGGTCACTCTAACTTGAAATTTCTGTGATTCTAAATACCAAGCATGTGTTAGTTGAATATCCATTAGTAACCTGCTGAATATTTAAAAAGTTCAACCTTGACTAAACCGTTAAGCTTTAGAGTGACTATCCTTAGAGCTTTGGGACATGTGCATTTTCAAGGACTGCAGACATTTAGTGTATGAACACACAAAGCAGGCTGACCTTCCGTTTCCCTTCATACAAAACTTACTTAACATGAAAGAAAACTTGACAGAGACATATTACTAGAAATTCAATTACAAGTCTGATTTAGTGGAAGGATTTCACTGGCACCTTAAATTTATGTTACACTTAGTTTAGATTAAACTGAGTTATTAATAACAATCATACAGACTATTACACAGCAGTTACTATGTATCAAACATGGTACTAGACACTGTACACATATGAATTCATTTGATGTTCCCAATAATCCCATGAGAGGGATAGTACCATCATCATGCCCATTTACAAAGGGGAAACAAAGGCATGTAAGATTAAATAATTCATCCGGGTCACACAGCCACTAAATGCCAGCCAGGCTTGAACACAGGCAGAGTGCATCCCTGGGCTATGCTTCCTGCAGCGCCATCTCCGGTATGTGCAAATTTCTAAGTATAATAAAATATTCTACAAAGGAGACTTAAAAGCACATCAACGTTTAATATAAACACATTAAAACTGAAATGCACAATATAGCCCCTACAACAAGAAGTTACCCCACGCGGGATGTTACCCACGCCCACGGCTGGCGACGTCTATGACAGCTAAGACGTGCCTTCGGTTTCACCTTACAGAGACAGCCCACTGTTTCTTCAGATCACTAGCCAATACATCACATAAAAGCTATAATGACCACAAAGAGTTAACTTACAATAAATGCTTTGTAAATTTGGAATCAAATCCGATCAAACATTTAAAGAATGCTATGGTACATTTTAAACATATCGAAATTTAAAAAGAAACCTGCATCTCTATAAGTAAATCTCATAAAATTTTAAAAATGTTTGACTACCCTAGAACAGAGGTGTCTTTCTGGAAGGACCCCCCCCCCCCATGGTCTGAGAGTAGGGACTGGGCCACCTACCTCTCCGTGGTTGAAGAAGAAGCACAGCACCGTGACCAGGCCCCCCAGCCGGCTGCCGCTGGAAGAGAGGGGAGAGAAGGCTCAGACACGGGGCCCAGGCCAGTCCCAATAAACAGGGAAACAACGCGACCACCTTCCGGCACCACGAAGTTCTAGCCACACTAGGACTCCGTTGTGCTTATTTACACTGACTTCTTTCCTCTTCACATTAGTCAAAACAAGTTTCATTTTCAAAAAATCATTTCCATCTTCAGACTGTGGAGAAAAACTTAACAGTCGTGTTCCCATGCATCAGGCAACCTGATCTTAATTTTTCTTTCTTTCTTTCTTTCCTTCTTTCTTTCCTTCTTTCTTTCCTTCTTTCTTTCTTTCTTTTTTTTGAACTCTTTGGTAGAAAATTTCTTAATTTGTGCCCGTCACCACTCTGACACCCTCGGGCCACATGACGTCGGGCAAGGCGGGGAGGGAGCACCCCAAGGGCTCTGCAGTCATAAGGCTGTAATACCACACCCTTCCCCAAGCTACGTTTCCACAGAACGTGATGGAAACATCAGCTGACTTGTTCTCCAAACTTGTGAAAGACAGCACAGGTGTCAGCACGGGGGCCAAGTCCGCAGGGCAGAGGCAGGGCCAGGGGACAGCAGCTTGCTGTCCAGGAGCAGAGGTGGCAGTGCAGAGGCCCGGGGACGGCTGTTTGAAACGTCCCCTGCACTTACGGAGAGAGGTACGAAGGGAAAACAGAAGGGCGCAGAGCCGTCTCCACAGGACCAACCAAAGTTCCAGACCACAAGTCCCAGGGCCACGCACAGCAGGGCGGGGTGATTCCCACCCCTGGTTATCAACCAGACTGGCAAGGTGAAATGCAAAGGGGCAAAGAAACAGCACATTGGCCAGAAAGTAGTGGAAGTGGTGGTCAGAGGTGAGAGGGCGACCAAGGGCCCGGGAGCAGGGGGGTGGTGCTCTCCGCCAAGGCGCGAAGGGACCAGCCCGCAGGCGGGCCCAGGCTCCAGCGCCCAAGGACACGTGGGAAGGGGAAGAATGAGCTATGGCTTTAAGTAAACAATTGCAGATCCATTTATTGTCATGTTCTGAGCTTACTCGAACAAGAGAAAAAGGACAGAGGTGTAAAGAGTTTTAAAAATGGTTTCCTCCTCGCCACTCCCCCACCCTATTCGCCACCTCCCCCCATCCTATTCGCCACCTCCCCCATCCTATTCCCACCTCCCCCCATCCTCTTCCCCACCTCCCCCATCCTCTTCCCCACCTCCCCCATCCTCTTCGCCACCTCCCCCATCCTCTTCCCCACCTCCCCCCATCCTCTTCGCCACCTCCCCCACCCTCTTCGCCACCTCCCCCACCCTCTTCGCCACCTCCCCCACCCTCTTCGCCACCTCACCCGATCCTATTTGCCTGACATAATCAGTAACATTTGTGTGTCCATCCTTCCAAATCTTCCTCTACCCCGTAAAAACATGCATTTTAATGGGATCATACCATTTACATCCCTCTGAAATGTGTTCCTTTTCTAATCTATCATGATTATTCCTAATCAATAACACGTGACCCATGCCACTCTTTTGAACATATGTCAACACTGCATAACGTACTGCAATTTGCTCATCCCTTTCTGTCATTGAACAGATAGATATTTTTCAATGCTTTGCTATAGTAATTTTAAAAAGTTAAGATAAACACCCTTGTACATGTAAATTGGTGCTTTCGTTTCTCTAGGACAGACCTATGAGCCGACAAGTCAAAGAACGTGCACTTCCCAGAACGCCACACAGCCCTCCCAACACGGTGCCAAGGGCCTGCTCCTGCCAGGGGTGCACACCTTGCACATTCTGCCCGGCACATCGGTGGAAACCTTTCCCCCCGTTATTCTGAGTTGTACTTCCTGCCTACAGTACAGAGCATCATTTGAGTGTTTTGTTGTTGTTGTTGACAAGGTGCATTTTCTCTTCTTTGAGTGCCTGTTCACATTCTTGTTATTTTCCTATTGGATTGTCCATTTCCCTACTTAAAGACAAGGGAAATCATTTTTTTTATTATCATATGTGTGATGAAGTCTTTTGATTGACTTTATGGTGTATTCTGCCAGAAGTTTTAAATATTACATAGCTCATTTTTATCTAGTGAAACGTCGATGTCTGCCTTTAATTCTGCTATGTCTCCTGTCTTGTCTCTGAAGGGCTTCCCCACTCAGCACTGTTTAGTGTTCTACCATAACATGAGTTACGGAGCAGCACCTTCCATGAACACAGACAGCGTTGCTTCACTAACTGGGAAGGAAGACTTCCTGGTACTTTAATGCTTTTCATCTATAAGAAACGCTCTGAGTTACAATCACTATGAAATGATGACTTCCCACCGTTCTACAGAAGTGTCCCCAGCATCTCCTTCCCTCCCTGCCGATGCTTAGGGACCACCACAGAGGTCATTTCATTTTGCTAAACAGAAAAGATGTACTAACAGAATGCTTGAAATTGATTTCCCCCACTACACTTGAGCAGTTGATGTTGCAGCATTCCCTATCGTTTAAGAAAAAAGGTTTCTTCTGCAATATGACCACCAACTGTCAGAAACTATGAACACTGCTATTGTGCAGACTGTAACACTCTAAGCTTGCTACACATCTGCCACGTTTGCTCATACATCTCTTTCACATTCTGAGCCTCAGTGTTGTTAAACATAAAATGAGGGGGTGAGAATGAAAAAGAGCTTTTCGGTTCTGACGCTTAATAATGCTAGAATTTTCTTTTTTCCTACACCCTTCAGTGGCATGGATTCAAAGCCTCCATTGCATTCTGGAGGCTTCATTAATCATGGAGGGTTTTCCCTCTATTTAGCAAGGAATGATGAGACAAACCAAGTTCAGCATTCAAAGAGAGAAAAAAGCAATTGCAGTTAATTGAAAATAATTTTAAAATAATTCTCAGTCAGTTGTCCCGCTGTGTGAATGCTTGAGGAGGACCCGGGAGGAGGACCCGGGAGGAGGACCCGGGAGGAGGACCCGGGAGGAGGACCCGGGAGGAGGACCCGGGAGGAGGACGCGGGAGAAGGACCCGGGAGAAGGACCCGGGAGAAAGATCTGGGAGAAGGACCCGGGAGAAGGACCCGGGAGAAAGATCCGGGAGAAAGATCTGGGAGAAGGACGCGGGAGAAGGACCCGGGAGAAGGACCCGGGAGGAGGACCCGGGAGGAGGACCCGGGAGAAGGACCCGGGAGGAGGACCCGGGAGAAGGACCCGGGAGGAGGACCCGGGAGAAGGACCCGGGAGGAGGACCCGGGAGAAGGACCCGGGAGGAGGACCCGGGAGAAGGATCCGGGAGGAGGACCCGGGAGGAGGACCCGGGAGGAGGACCCGGGAGGAGGACCCGGGAGAAGGACCCGGGAGGAGGACCCGGGAGAAGGACCCGGGAGGAGGACCCGGGAGGAGGACCCGGGAGGAGGACCCGGGAGAAGGACCCGGGAGGAGGACCCGGGAGAAAGATCTGGGAGGAGGACCCGGGAGGAGGACCCGGGAGAAGGACCCGGGAGGAGGACCCGGGAGAAGGACCCGGGAGGAGGACCCGGGTGAAAGATCTGGGAGAAGGACCCGGGAGAAGGACCCGGGAGGAGGACCCGGGAGAAGGACCCGGGAGAAGGACCCGGGAGGAGGACCCGGGAGAAGGACCCGGGAGAAGGACCCGGGAGGAGGACCCGGGAGAAGGACCCGGGAGGAGGACCCGGGAGGAGGACCCGGGAGAAAGATCTGGGAGAAGGACCCGGGAGGAGGACCCGGGAGAAGGACCCGGGAGAAGGATCTGGGGAATGATCTGGGAGGAGGTCCCAGGAGGGGGACCCGGGAGAGAGACCCGGGAGGAGGACCCGGGAGAAGGATCTGGGAGAAGGATCTGGGAGGAGGACCCGGGAGGAGGACCCGGGAGAAGGATCTGGGAGAAGGATCTGGGAGGAGGTCCCAGGAGGGGGACCCGGGAGGAGCCGGGAGAAGGATCTGGGAGAATGATCTGGGAGGAGGACCCGGGAGAGGGACCAGGGAGGGGGACCAGGGAGGAGGAGCCGGGATCGCTGCATGGGGAGAGGTGGGCGGCGGCACCCCAGTGGAGGAACGCCCACAGACCTGCCCCAACCTTAGGGCAGGGGCGTCCTGAGCACTAAGGGCAGATTCGAAGGAAAGGGAGGGAGAGAATGGGGATGAGGAAGGGGAGAAAAGTTCTCAGCTCAGTCCTTCCAGCCCTTACAAGCAACTAATTAAGTGCTTTATTTACTCTGTCTGCGCGGGCCAAGCAGCAGGGTGCTGTCTGCTGGCTCGTGGCACCCCACTGCCTCACTGCAGCCGCCAGCGTCCAGTACTGAGTCTCGCCGTGCGGAGAGTCAGGGCTTCTGAGGATTAAGTGAAAACATAAAAGGAAAGAAAAACTATTCAATCAAAAGATAGGTGGCACCCCTTTCTTTGAAACTTGCAGCCGAACACACTTCATATCATTGCTACCCTTGACCCTCGGTCACTAGCCCAGATCTAGGCTCCTGCTCGTCATCAGCACCATGCGTTCGGCGGAGCCTCTGCTGTGGCCCAACCAGCACACACTTGACCCCCCTCCAGACCCTTCCCGTGCCCTCAGAACCTCCATTCCGGTGAACAACCTCCGCCCAGCTGTGTCCCTTCCCTCCTGCCAGGAAAGCTCAGTCCTCAGGAACAGTGCTCCCCACCGGCCCGCGAGCTCAGCAGAGAGCAGGGAGCGCTTCTCAGGACAGAAACCCACAGGACCTGTGATCGTCAGATTCAGGGTGCAGCTCCGGAGGGAAGTCATGGGTGTAGCTGTCATTTGCTGAGACAGTGGCATAAAAAGGGGCGGGTTTGGGAGAAAAGATACCAGTATTTTCAACCAACAACTTTCATCGATTTATGTGTACTAAAGAGAGAAACTTATCTTTTAAATATTCATATACAACTGTTGGACCCAATGAGTAAATGTATTAGCGGCCAAGTTAACAGAACGTTCCGTAAAAGCCAGAGCTGGAGAAGTCTGAGCTGGCGCAGTCCACAGCCTATTT